CAACTACATAGGAGCAAGACCCACAGACTGAAGGAGACTGAAAATGCTGCATGTAGTCACTTAATTCTGTGTCTCCGTGTCATTTTTTCCCCCCTCTCTTTCAACTACACACATTCTGCGCCTCTTTGTGGTCATTCTGTGTCTCTTTGTAGTTGTTTTGTGTCGCTTTGTAGTCGTTCGCTTGACTTCCCAGCAAGAAATGTTTACAGTAACTTCAAAGAGAGGCTGTGGACCAGGAGCCTTTAACTCAGAAGACCCGTTTATTAATCCATTCATGCTGCTGAGCACCAGAATTTTGCATGAATTGTTTGCTCATATTGACATATTGTCTTCTCAGATGAGACAGTCTCTTACTTGAATCATAATTGGGAATATTTTAAGTTCTGTTTGTGTTGAATATTTGAGAACTTTGTCTTCCTTAGTTAAATGGAGAAGGATGTGTTTATTTCTTAAAATATTATATAGAAAAACAGTTTTCCGATACCGAAATTCAGTTGTTGTATTGGTACATGCATCAGCCCCTATTCCCCAGTACATACTGTGCGTCATTGGCTTTGTCGCCTTAATCACCCTTCCTCTGTGTCACCAGCACCAAGTCAGTCATTTTGTCTGTAACAGTAACATGTAACAGTCAGGGGCCCAGGCTGTGTTCATGCAGTGGTGATGACCTTAGTTATTCATTTATGTGACATTTTAACTGACGGGTTCGAAGTTCTCACCTAGAATAAATTAGAGTGAGAGCGATAAACTTTTGCTTTTTGTTTTCCCATCTATTAAATCTAACTATTAAAAACAGCTTTCTATGAAGTGATTTCTGTTTGATCATTTGGTAGATCATTATTTGTTCAGCCACTGATTCGTCACTGAATGGAAATGTCAGCGAATGATGGATTGCACTGCTTTGCCGTGGCATTTTCAGTATTGTTCTTACATGTCAGTCATTCATTTTGTCCATGAATCACATAAGAGAACTAATTAGATTTGATGGACTTGAGCATTTTCTGAATCGCACTGGTTGACACAAAAAGTTGAGCTTGATTGAGCGTGAAAGTTTGTGAAAATGTTTCCTTGTTGTTTTCTGATTAGCCCAGATGAGCGTCACACAGCATCATTTGTTTTCTTCTGTTCGCTCAGGCCTCTGAAACCGTCTTTCACTGTGAGTTTGTTTGTGCTTGAATACGTTCGCCTGCCTCGGCACTGGATGTCAGAGAGGAATTCAGGCTGTTGCTCAAGGGCACTTCAGTATAGCAGGCCTTTTGGGGGACTGATGATCAAACCTGCACCTACTTGATCACACCAAACAGCTTGCTTCAGTCAGTCAGTCAGTCAGTCAGTCACAACAACCAGTCAGTCAAGTCGAGTCAGGCTGTGTGTTGTTGCCACTAACAGTGGCACTGAGCTCTATGAGTCATCTCAGACTGAAGACACACTGTCTGTGCTCTCCTCTCGGCTTCTCTCTTCTTCTTTTCTCTTTGCGTCTCTTTGTCCGTCCCCCCTCCCACCACAGCTTTGTTTTGGAGTGGGCCGGCCTCTGTCGTTCGTCCTCTGCCTCAGTTCTTCTTCACTTGATTTTCCTCTTGAACCGAGGAAACAGTTCTTGTCCTCTTCTTCGACAAAACTAAAAATCCGTCTTCATTGTGTGTAACGTTATTGATTAATATTTGATAGTGCGGTTGTTCTTCCTGTGGTTACCCTTGAGTTCTTGACTTTATTTAGTCTCCTCCTCGCTGTTGTGTTTCTGCAGTGCACTTGTGTGGGCAGAACTCCTGGTTCTTGTTTTTGAAGTTGAATTTCTGTTTGTGCCACTTTTTTTTTTCTTTTTTTTTTTCTTTCACCCTTCAGCTATAAGGGCGATCACAGCTCGTGCTGACGAGGCAGCTCAGTTAGCACATTATCACTGCATCAGAAGCATGGAAAACTTCAATGCAATTTTATGTACGTCTCATTTTGAGTTTTTAGAAATGAATTGTGCCTCATTAGATACGGTTTGAACATTTTATACATGCAATGTATTTAGAGAAAACACTTCACTTTTTTATATACTGTAATCTGTGAATATTATCCTGTTATTCTCTGTCCTGATGTGACTATATCAAAAATGGAAATTCCACCAGTGACAGAGGCTTGATGGACTTTATTATAAAGACCCTTATATAGACCCTCTAGCATTTGACAACTTCCCCGTAAAGTGAACCGACCAGAACGTGAAATGTCATGGTTTCCCTCACTGATGTTGGGTAAATATGCTGGTGAGGCAGCAGCCAGGATCAGGGTAGATGGGGGTGTTTCTGTCAGCTGCTTCCTTGAGACTAGAGGAAGAAGAAATTAGAGCTGTTGTGTCAGAGACTTGACAAATTACTTCCAAGCTGTTAATGGTACTGAAACTCTTGTTTTGTCTCTCATTTTGAAATTCTTATCACTTAACTAGAGACACCTTTTTCCCTTTGTTTCTTTCACTTACACACTCTCACACACGCTCTCTCTTTCTCTCTCTCTCCCTCCCCCTCTCATTTTCTCACACATGCTTAATGCACTGTCACACACAGTCATACTTGCACACTCTTGGCCTGGGAGAAGTGAGCAAAAACCATCTTTTATTCATGTGTACTTCATATAGAATTCCTCTCCCCGACCAGCCCTGCTGCTAAAGGTAAACACGCTGTACTATTTATAGAAAATCAGCCTCTGCGTTCTGCAAAAAACAACTTTTTTCGACAAAAATCAGCTTTTCAGGAATACAGGAAAAACTGTGTTGAGGTCAAGACATCCCTCTGTCACCCTGCCTTAAAACTGGCTGCAAGCAACATATTGGAAAATCGTGTTTTGTTTGTTTTTTTTCCTGGTTGCATCAGGAACGTGAAGGTGAAGCACTCATGACAAAATGTCATGACTCATGTAATTTTGCATCAGGGTCTAAACTGGAGAAAGGATTGGGGATTGTGTGTCTGACAATTGGATTAAAGGTAATCGTGCAACAGTTCCAAATGGGATCCAGCTGCTCTGAAATGTCTTTAAAGTATTAGTTACAACTTTCCCATCATGCCTGCTGTTTCTCCATTGCACTTGTCTCCATCATCGCTGTATGACCTTTACCGCAAGGGGCTGCCGTTGATGTTGGGGGGTGGGGGGGTTGTGCTGCAGGTGCTGGTATAGGATGAAATATAATCCAGAAAAGGGTGCAGGTCCACGAGTTTGAAGGTTTATCAAACACCATTATACTGTACAGTATAATGGTGTTTGATTTTTTTTCACACATGGAATCGGTGCAGCTCCAGTCTGCCTCAAAGTTGCATGAACAACATTGCTAAGAAATAACCGTTGTTTCAAAGGCGCCACTCACCCATTCTCTCTCTTCTCTCCCTCCTTCAGGCTCGTAATGTTAACACAGGAGAGCTGGCTGCTATCAAAGTCATCAAACTGGAACCGGGTGAGTTATCTCATCTTTCTCTCTTTTCCTTTATCTCCCTGCTTTTTTGCTATATCTCCTTCTCAATCGCTTTTTCAGCCTGTGTTCCTCAATTTTTCTCTCTCCGTTTTTTCCTTTAGCCTTTTTCCTTCATAGGACTCTTTTCCACACTCCCCCCTGTTCACTCCCTCTCTCACCCTACACTTATAGATCCTTTCCTTCTATCATTGTCCCATGCATTATTTTTCCCTTTCCTCCCCCTCTGCTGGTTTCCATCATCTGTTCCTCCACTGAAAAAAGGAAAACAAACAAAAAAAACCCGTCAGAAGTTACAGGAAGTGTGGAAATTTATCATCACACCGCTGCTAAATAATTAAGGTCTTTAATGTGGAATTTAAAGAAGGAAAATATGTAGAAACCCGCTCTGCTGCCCTCCATCCTTTTACACTGGCTTCCATGAGTCTGCCCCGCATCATTTAGCCAGACACATACACACACACACACACACACACACACTGACTCAAACACAAATCCACTTCTCCATCGTTCTGTTACTTTGCATTGCTTTGTAAATAATAATGACCACATCAAGCATTTAGATATTAGATTATCACTGTAATAATAGTGTGTGTGTACACACATGTGTTTTCTCTCCAGGTGAGGACTTTGCTGTCGTCCAGCAGGAGATTATAATGATGAAGGACTGTAAACACTCCAACATTGTTGCCTATTTTGGCAGTTATCTCCGGTAAGTGTGTGTGTGTGTGTGTGTGTGAGTGTTAGATGTAACAATATTTATTTATGCTTGTCATCAATGTGCATGTTGTTGATATTGAAGAATATTGCATTACTCTGGTTTGTGTGTGTGTGTGTGTGTGTGTGTGTGTGTGTGTGTGTGAGTGAGGAAATAAAAGACAGATGGAAAAAAGAAATTAGAAATTAGTTGTGTGAGACATTGTGTGTATGTGTAAAGGTATACTGACAAAATATTCTATGTGTGTGCAGGAGAGATAAGTTATGGATCAGTATGGAGTACTGTGGAGGAGGTTCTCTGCAGGACATCTATCACGGTAACAACATGCACTCAAACACACACACACACACACACATTTTGATAACTGTTGTTTTTTTAAATTTAGTTTTATATTGTTCTCACTCTTTAATATTCCTTCGTCTCTCTCTTTCTTTCTTGATGTTTGTCTGTCTCTTCCTTCTTTCACTCCTCCAGTAACCGGGCCCTTGTCAGAGTCACAGATAGCCTACATGTCACGGGAGACCCTGCAGGTAACGTATACAGTGTGGTTATTATATCAGTGTGTGTCTTTTTGAATAGAAGAGGGGGATAATAACCACAGAGGCATATTTTAGGAGAGTGGTGGCCTGTTTAGCTGGAGCTGCTTCATGTTCTCTCTCCGTGAAATGATGAGCATAGACACCAAAATCATGAATGATTGGAAGTGTTCATTGGCTCTTCTGCTTAATCCTCACAGTTAATCAATAGATAAATGACATCAGGAAACTTAGCTGAGTTATTTAAAAATTTTCTCATGATAGAACTGTGCTCCACATACGCATTTTAAAATTGTGATTCTGTTTTCAGGGTTTATACTATCTACACAACAAAGGCAAAATGCACAGAGACATCAAGGTGAGTTTGGAGAAAACTGTATGGAATATGCATGTTATAAAATGAAGAGCAAGGTCAAACCTTTTTACAGTTTAGTCAAATCCACAGCAACTACTGAAATAGCTTTATATTGAAATCAACTCCTCTTGAGAATCTGTGAAAATTGTCATAGAGCCAATTTACAGTTTGTACATTTTTAGTGATAAAAAGTGAAAGAAAATAAGAATTGAACCCCAAACACAGCTGATGGGGTTAGTGGCAGGGGAAATGATTATTGAATCATAGCTGCAGGATGCACTGATCAATGATAAATCACTTTGCAACAAACCTGCACAGCTGAATGCTGCTTCTCAAGTTCATTTGAATTGACCTGAAGTTGTGATTTCTGGTGTTGTTTCCTGATGCATGGCGTGTTTGTCTCTGACAGGGAGCCAACATCCTCCTGACAGACAACGGCTACGTTAAACTAGGTAAGAGGAACATGCAAAACCTCTGCAACTTCCCTCTGCTTCAAAAGCGTGAATCTGAATGGCCTCATTTACTGACTTGGTTTTCTTTTCTCTCTCCTCTGTCTCTCCTGCTCCCTCCTTCGTATAATCATTGCTGTTCCTACTCTCCAACTTTTTATTTTTTTTATTTCTTGCTCACATTCTTTCTTCATTCTTTATTCCCTTTTCAATTCTTTCACTCCTTCCCTTCTATTATTCTCTATTTCGTTCTTCTTTCTAATTCCCTTTCCCCCTTTTTTCTCTCCTCTCCCTTTTTCTCTCTGCAGCTGACTTTGGTGTATCGGCCCAGATCACAGCAACTCTTGCCAAGAGGAAGTCATTCATTGGAACTCCTTACTGGTGAGTCGTGCTTGTTTTTCTCTGTCATCTCCTTTAAAACTGCATGTGGATAAACATGCTGACAAAGTAAATGTGTAAAATCCAACTTCCTACTGCATGTGAGAGGCCTTGAAGCAGCTGGGGATAGGGCGGGAATTTGATAAACTGTCTTACATCAGGCAGTATCAAGAGATTTGTCTAATGGCTCATGCCAGGTACATGCCAGAATGTCTCGTCTAACATGTTTCATGCATTTATCGCATTATCTGATGGTTGCTGTAGTGAATCCAGATTATTCACCTCCTCACAAAACCTTAACAAACCAGGAATGAATCGTATTCTTGGGCTCTAGAGAAACTCAGACAGACGTAGGGTCATGGAGACGTCAAGAGGGTTGTAGATCAAGGTCATGGCGGCGTCTCCCTCTGTGCTGCTGCAGGGAAATACTGGAGGAAAAAAAATCTAATGCAGTTCTTGTGTTTAGCTGTTTAATTAACCTGATTTTGTGAAGAAAAAAAATTAACACACATTTTACTCCCATTCTTTCCCTCTTGTTTTTTTTCATGCCCTCCTTCTGTCTCTCTCTCTCTCTCTCTCTCTCTCTCTCTCTCTCTCTCTCTGTGTAGGATGGCTCCAGAGGTTGCAGCAGTGGAGAGGAAAGGAGGTTACAACCAGCTGTGTGATATCTGGGCTGTGGGCATTACTGCAATAGAGCTGGCTGAACTACAACCACCCATGTTTGACTTGCACCCCATGAGGTAGAGAAGTGTGTCTTTGTGCATTATACATACGGCGTGAATATGGAAAATTCGATTCTTACCTCACTCACTGATTGGAGCAGAAAAGCCCCATCTGTGTTTATAGCACTGATGCCTGACTTCTCAAAGGTATCTCTTGATTTTATATTAGTTTGATTTAATCAGTCATATGTAACTTTTTCAGAACCTACAACAGATGTTTTGTAAGATGTTGTCCTTATAATTGTGTGCTGTGCAAGAGGCTCTTTCACCACTGTTTAACATTACGCCACTGTCTTTTTTTTGTTTTTGTTTTTGAGCCTTTTATGCCTTTATTGACAGTGCAGTAGAGAGACAGGAAATGGGGAGGCAGAGAGAGGGGGAATGACATGCAGCAAAGGGCTTGTCCGATGCGGGACTCGACCCGGGGCCGACTGCAGCGAGGACCTTAGCCTCTGCACACGGGGCGGATGCTCAACCGACTGAGCTACTCGACACCCCACACTGTAGTCAAGTCTTGAGGATTAATCCTTGTCTTTCTCTCTTTCCCCACAGGGCTCTGTTCTTAATGACCAAGAGTAATTTCCAGCCTCCTAAGTTGAAAGATAAACTCAAATGGTGAGAGCCCACCCTGTCCCTTCACCCACTGAGACACATTTACTGTAGACGCATAAACCCTGCTGTTGATGTTACCCAGTTTTATCAAACCTGTGTCTCACTTGTTTCAAGGCTGGAATATGAACTCTTTCTCTTTTTCTCTGTCGTCCTCTCTCTGCTGGACAAACAGGACAAATAACTTCCACCATTTTGTCAAACTCGCCCTGACCAAGAACCCAAAGAAGAGGCCCACGGCTGAGAAACTCCTGCAGGTGAGCAATAAAACAGCATATTTATAAAAAAAACACAAGTGGTCCAGCTCTGTGAAGTTACCCATCCCAGCTGAACTGTGATTTAAGGATACAAACTGCAGATTAAACCATTCCCACATTAAAGTGTGTCATCCTGTTGGTTTGTTTACATGAATACAGACTTTTTAAAAGCATTAATTGCTACAGTTGTACATTATATATAAAATATAAGCAAATCCCTGTTTCATAGGCCAGTGCCTCTCATCCCCCATTTTTCAGGTGTATGCCTCTGGTACTAAAAATATACGGTTTATTAAATAAACTTGACCAAGCAGACCCATCAACCATCCGTCACAGCTTCTCACACTTCAATGCTTGAATGATTTGGGGTTATTTAATTATTAGTCATTGCTGATTGGTCATTTAAAGACATCGCTCTGATTGGCTCCCTCTCCTCTCGGTCCTCCAGCACCCTTTTGTGTCGCAGCCGCTCAGCAGGACGCTGGCAATCGAGCTGCTGGACAAAGCCAACAACCCCGACCACAGCACCTACAACGACTTTGATGATGACGACCCTGAACCCGAGGTAACCTTTGACCTTCTCTTTGAGGTTTTGATTTCCAAAATAAGTGTCATCAAGCTTGCAGGCAGGCCATCAGAGAAATGATAATGTTTTGCTGGATCTCGCTTCTTTTCTTTCCCTTTCAAATGGTGTCCTTCTGTCTCCTCATTTGTTCTTCTTCATTAAATTCCTGCGCCATCCGCTGCCATTCACCCTCGCTCTCCTCAGCCGCAGTCCCTCCTCTCCCTGGCACATGTGACTCATCTTTCTGCTCTTTGTCCCCTACTCCCTCTTTCCTCTCCTTCTTATTTCTCCTTGTACGCTTCTCCTTCCACCTCTCTTCTCCTGTTTCATTTCACTCTTCTTGGCTTCTATCTTCTCTTTCCTTCTGCTCCTCTTCTTCCGCTTTCCTCTTCCTGCTTGTAGCACTTCTCCTTTCTCCTTACTTTTCTCTTTCTCCCTCTTTCTCCCTCTCTTTTTTCCCCCCTGTCGTCTTGTCTCCATTCCCCAATCCTCGACCTCCTCCTCAGTTTAAGTACAGGGGTCATTTCCTACCCATAAGCCCCGGTGCTCGACGTGCACCCCGTTTTGCGGCCCGTAGGAAGGTACAACACAAACCAGACTTGTCAGTTGTGTTTTTACGTGGAGGAGGACGACCACAGAACTGAATGAACTGAACGTGGATTTCCGTTCAACTGAGCGTCTACTGGTGTTGTCATGGAAACTGACATTGGCATGTGAGGTTCAGACTGTTGATGGATTACCATGGCGATTGTGTAATTAGTTCAACATACCAGTGAGCACTTGTATTTAACGTTCATGCCTTTCTGCTGACATGCACATCAGCTGGTGGGGTTGTTTTTATTGAATCATATGATCACAGTTTCAGTTTCCTCAATTAACAATTATGTAATATTGTCAGTTACGCCAGCAATAATTAGTCAAGTAATTAATTTGTTGATTAATCAGCAACTATTTTGCTAAAAGAATAATTATTTTAATCATTTTTTAAGCAAAAACATCAAACATTTGCTGTTTCTAGCTTCTCACGTGAAGATTTGATGCCTGTCTTTGTCACACATGATCTTCAGGTTGGACTGTTGGTCAGACAAGACATTTCACCCCAGTGTGTGACAGTGTGTCTTTTTCTGGACAAAACCATTAATCATTAGTCAAAAAAGGAAATCTGTCTGCAGATTAAATGATAATGAGAATAATCATTATTTGCAGCCCTGTTGTTAGTTCTGAAACATGTCTTGACATGTCTTCAAAGGTTAAAAGTCATGTTAAAAGTTACGCAGTAGATATTATGATTTTTAGCCAAAACTGTATCGAGCGTTAATTGCATAAACATAACTAGATAGATAAGGTTTAGACAAAATGGTATATAGTGGGGTTTTAGTGTTTTTACTGGTATTTATTTTTATAATTTGTAATTGTAATGAATACTACAACTTTTTAAATGACACAAAACTTTGCTAACTTCCATGACATCATTATTTAGATTCTTCGGCAGCCATATTGGCTACACCACAGCAGATCAAGAAGTGACATCACCGTAGATCAGCTCAGTTCATTCTAGTTCTGTGGCAGCAGCTGGGCGATACAGAAATGTCTAGGTTCATAAAGATGGTTTCCAAAGTCTGACAGTATCAGACTCGAACTTAGAATAATGCATCTAAACCACATCCAGGTCAAATTGTACTTGTGAACAAATAGTGTTGACATTGTGGTTTGTTTCTGTCCACAAGAGTTGGGTTTCTGAATGAAAATAAAACTCAAGCCTCAATTTTAAGGACTTTGAGGTTCAGGAAAATATTTTAAATCGGAGATACAGTCAATCTCACCACGCTGTCTAAGCAGTTTGAAATAGTTTTGGTTTGTTTTACCCGGCTCTGGTTAAAAGATCAAAACCTTGTCTCTCCATCTGGTGGTTTGGAAACACAGGGTGTACAGGATGCATTATGAAAAGGGTGGGGATTATGGAAGCCATCTTCATCTACCTTTGCCTTTGCAGTTACTAACCATGATTTGTGGTGCTATGAGAATGTTAAGAGGTGGTTTTAAATAGACAAACCTGTCGGTTGCTCTGAGCTACAGATGTCGCTTTTACATGCATCTTTTAAAAGTCCTGGTTTGTCTTTTTTCTGGTCGCTTTACAAGCATGGTTTGAGGTTGCTGTGTTTTGAGTTTACGTCTTTACATTAAATACTTAAGACATGAAGTCAAGTAGAGTTTGACTTCTTTGGAAGCACTGTATCTGCGAATGACCGGTTGTACAGAAAGAAAATAAACAGGTTGGTCATGAAACCAATAACTAGTATCTCAGTGTATTTTAATGGAGAACACATCAACACTGGCTGAGTTAAGGCCTGCAGGTCAGTGGGTGGAGTGACGCTGGTGTCAGCTGTTAGCCTCGATATTGTACATCACACAATGTATAGAGGACAACACTAGAGTGAAACCTTAATGTTGTTGCCTGGAAGGTTTGTGTTTTCCGTCCGTGTTGCTAGGTTTTGGTTGTCTGGTTGCAGAGTGCAGCTGGCTGTTTTGCTGTGTCATCAAATCCCACCCACAGGAAGTAGCACCAGGATTAGGTTTTTTTTTTTTTTTTCTTCTCAAGTGCAGTGTAAATTACTACACTGTGTATATTCTTTGAGCAGCTCCTTGACTGTGTATGTGTTTGTCTCTGTCTCTTCCCTGATAGTCTCCGGTCTCGGTTCCTCATCGTATTCGTTCCACCAGCAGGAGCACAAGGGAAGGAAAGACGCTGTCTGAGATAAACTGTGAGTGTGTACACAAGGTCAACACAAACAAATTCATCTTCAAATAGATTTTCTTTTTATGTTAGAAATCCCACAGAAGTCACCTACGCTCTCTGTATTTGTCCTGCTATCATCCCATCTCCTGTTGTTCCCTCGGTTTCCATCTTCACCTCTGTCTCTGTGTTTTCTCTTTCCTCAGTTGGTCAGGTGAAGTTTGATCCTCCATTGAGGAAGGAGACGGAACCCCATCATGAGCCGGTGAGTTATTTCCTGTGGCATATGTTTCTGTGTGTGTGTGTGTGTGTGTGTGTGTGTGTGTGTGTGTGTGTGTGTGTGTGTCTCTGAGTGAGATTCTACTGTTTGGTTTGTATGGTTGTCACTTCACCACTACCGGCATGGCTGATCCTCACCTAATCACAGGAAGCACCCTGACCAACCCATGTTGTCGTCAGTCTGTGGTGAACCGAACATGAAGCCCATCTACGTAGTTCACTCTGGCAGATACATAACTGAAGCGTTTTCATTAAGGACGTCCCGATCTATCCCGATTATGTCAGCTACGGTTCAGAAATCTTTTATTGGGTAGAGAAGAAATCAGATTACTGTCCAAGTGCAGTCAAACATGAACTTTAAAAGCAGGTTGCAGCAGTTTATGTCAATCTGCCCCCCCCCCCCCCCCCCCCCCCATTTGTTGTGCGCACATAAGCTTGAGATTGTGGATACAAGCAGACAAAATTAGTTGTCTTTGCAGTATCAACCAACAGGGACAAAAAGAGGAGTTCAGAGTAGAACCGCTGCCCCTTCGCATTAAAAGGATCCAGTTTAGGTGGTGCAGGCTCTGATCAAGGCGCCTTCCTGTGGAGGAATCCTGTTCATGTTCTAGCATGGAGCAGACCCCGGGTACAGTCCTAGAATATGTTGGCGGGATCATATGTCCCACCTGGCCTGTGAACTGTGAAGCGTGGCAAATAACAGCTTTCTTGCCACAATGTCTCCTTACTCACAGGCAGGGGTGGACACGTATCTCACAGGATTTACTCACTAAGGTCCTCAGAAGATAGACTTTTTGTTTTGTTTCACTTGTGAAAGAAGCGGTTGCTAGTGAACAGATGGGATGGTGCAGGGTTCATGTACAGTCACAATGTCAGTCCTCCCTTCCCTCACTGCCTTCCACTTTTTCTGTCCTTTCTTTGCACTTGCACTTTTCCCACAAACTCCCTTTTGTATTCCTCGTCCCGTGAAGTCTGCTGAGAGAATCAAACCCTCACCTCCTTCTTACCTCTGTCCAATGACTGTATCTAAAGATGGACGTCTCGTCTCCACTTCCTCCTACTGTATCAAATATGAAGCCGAAATTTCCCAAATACGGGCACTGCCATCTTGTGCTGGTGATCAAGGAGTGGTATCAAAGTCCCGCCCCCACACCTGCCAAACCCAATCGCAAGTCAATCACAGCTGTCAATCATGACATCACACTCCAGTTTTATAGCATCAAATAACTAATTAATTTATCTTTGCGAAAATTGTATTTGACTTGTACTTTGATTTTTTTAGTTTGGCCCATGTCGTTAACACGGAGGGGGCGGAGTTTAGGACTTATACCGCAGCCTGCCACCAGGGGGCAATCGAGATGTTTTGGCTTCACTTTTGAGGAGCTGTCATGTCAGCCATCTTTATATTCAGTCATTGCCTATGTCCCTCCAGCTATTTATTGTCAAGAAACATAGTCACAAGTGTAGGTCTGTGACATTCTGTAACATTCATCTCTTTTTCCTTCAGTTTCCATCCTCTCCTCAAAAGTAATCTAATAATGTGTGTTCTCTCTCGGCCGTGATGACTAGTGTGGTTTTTCAGCTCTTCAAGATCTGTCCATTCAGGATTAGATAGATAAATAGATAGATACATAGATACTTTATTTAGCATTATAAAATCAATAAATCATGACTACATTTTTCCTGTAAAAGTTTATAAAAGGATTAGCAGCAGCCTTTTGAAAAGAGACTCTAGCAAATACAGAGAGAGCAAAGAGTCAATGGCTGGAGAAACTTTCAGCATATTTAACTTCTTGTGTAATACTAAACAAAACAACAAATCCATAGCAACAGTAGGAACCATGGATTAGTCTTAATTCAAAGAAATATTACCAACTGGCATAAAGTGGAGGCTGCTGATTCTTTCACATAGCTGCTATGATATATTAATTTCATTTATTAGTTTTGCTGGTTTTTATCTGCCCCCAGTTCAGTCCTAGTTCCATCCATGCCTTGTTTAATCTGTCTCCCATCCATCGCCTCTTCTCTTCAGATTAATATTACAGCATCTACCTCCTCCTCTGTCTTGATGATCCATTGACGTCATAGCCCATTTTGGCCTTCATTCATTTTTCATCCATCATCCTCTCTCTTGCAACCTTGCCTCCATCCCCCCACCCACCCCACCCACCCCTGTTTCCCCCTCCATCAGTCCAGGTTAATGTATTAACTGAGGTCTCTCTCGCTCTGTCTTGCTGACCAGTGTGATTCTGAGCCCTATCTGGACTGTGTTGAGGAGCTCTACTATACCGCGAGATCTAATCTGGTAGTACTCTTTCTATCTGTCTCTCTCTCTCTCTCTTTCTGCCTCTCCTGCTTTCTTTTTCGTTTTATTTTCAATCTGGCTTCATTCCTCTAACCTTATACGTTCTTTTTTTTCATACCTCCATCTTACCCTCTCCATACTTCTCTTCTCATTCTTAATCTTTTTCTGAAGGACAAGTACTTGTCCTTATTTTGGCTCTCTTGCTTTCCGAGCCCCTGCGGTCTCTCTCCTTTTTTTTTTTTTCATTTTCCAGACTGCTGATTGCTTTGGCTGCTCGGTGTCCAACATGTATTTTTGTTGATTTTCACATATTTGTTCCATCTATTCTGGTCCATCCATCTGTTACTGTTCATTTTGTTCTTCTTTTTCCAGCCTTGGCTTTTGCCTCACTAACTGGTGTTGTAGTTGTCATGGTGATAAGAGTCCTTAGTGATTGTTGTTGTTGTTGTTGTCATTCTTTCCTGTTTTCAGATACGCATACAAAACACACAATCAGTCAAATCAAATCAAATTGTAAATCTCGTGGGTTTTTTTCTGAAATATGAGATTTCTGTGAAACACACTAACACACACATAGACAGACACACACACACACACACACAAACGCACGCATGGAGAAGAAGGTCGGAGGTCAGTAGTGATGTAGTGCCTTGCTCAAGGACACTTAGTGACACGTAGTTATAACCATTTATATTAAAATTGAATAAACATTCACACTCAACCTTTTAGTTTATGCGATATTGTACCTGACATTTGTTTGACATACAGTTTCTCCTGATCTTTCTCTCTGCAGAATGTGTGTCTCTCTTCCGCACACTACTGCTTACATGTTCTCTAACCTCTTACGTCCCGTAGTTGACCAGAGCAATGAGGCCTTTTTATAGTGGGTGTGCGTGTTGGGCTGAGTGTTTGTGTTTATCTGTTTGTTTGCAGTATGCGTGTTGCCCTCTGCACGCTTGTTGCATTATGTCATTATCTTTTGTGGCACAAGGCTGCATTCACATTGTGGCTGTAAATACTATTTGTTTCAGTCAGAGAATGACGCTGAGCTCAGCTAGCGCTGCTTATTGTTCACCTGCAAAACTAATCAACTTGTATCAACTTGCACCTGGTTGGAAAGCTGCTGCAGGAACTCAAAACCTTATAAGTAACGAATCACCATAAAACAGTACACATTCAAGAAGCTTATTATATAATGTGTTCAAGTTTAAAGACGTTGATGATTCATTGATTAAATCGCCTAAACCAGTGGGTCAGGGCCCGACTAGGGGTCTCAATATATATACAAGGGGGCCACAGAACAGCTGTGTTTTAGTCATAGCTTCACAACCGTAAGGAGGCACAGCAGGCCTGTCGAGCTCTGGGTCTCACCACATGCCGGAGAGGCGTGATGGCGCAACTGGATACTTAAAAAAAAATAAAAAATAAAACATTAAAAAAGCTCTGTTCACAGCTAACTCATCTGCTGTGTCAGCCTGCTCGTCTTTTTGCTTCTTCTGATGAGGATAAAGTAGGAATTCAACAATTGCTTTAGTCTTTTAGAGTCCATAAATATCTTCCTGTAGGAGAAAGAGACACTGCCAATTTTGTTTTGGCTAAATTATTCAGTTACCTATGTTGCACCTGTTATTTCATTCATGACAGGTGCAGTTTTAATTATATGAACAAATCTGTAATTGTCAAACATCTGCTTTATCAAAGCTATGAAGACAAAAGGGAATTGCTTTTGTGGCAAACATGGTATGATTAACACATTTATTAAGCCACAATGTGAACTCAGCAAGAGTCAAATCTATACACGCACAGTTAGCCACTGTATACATCTGTGTGTGTGTCTGTGGTTATGAACTCTACTTGTGGTGAAATCCTGTCTCATGGGGGATGGTGTTATGTCTAGCAGGCTGTTGAACTGTCACTGCGGCTGCTACAGTAGCAGCCCCTGCAGCCATTTTGGCACTTGAACAGGGTTTCAGTTGTGGTCATTACTTCAGTGTGGTTATTCAGCCACATGGCCCAGAGCTTCAGCCCTGTTTGTGCCTCTGGAGAAATCAGATACGTAGCATCCTTTTTAAAATGAGCCAGTTCTGAATTATCACGTCACAGTAGTAATGTTTTGCGTCTGTCTCGTAGGACCTGCAGTTGGAGTACGGGCATGATTCACCAAGTCTGCTGGGAGGAAACAAGTGAGTCTCACCTTCACGTTCTGTCCGTCTGTCTCTCTCATCATGTCTGTTTCTTCCTCTTTTTTCCACCATCATCTTTCTCTCTGTCGCTTGAATTTTCTCCTGTTCCTTCATCTACAGTTGTGGCTGACCTAGTTTTTTTTATTTTTTTTTTAATTATTATTATTAACCATCTAGATTGAGGAAAGTTGTGGACAAAGTAGTGGAGAGCCAGAATGTGAGGCAGCGAGAGATTTCATGCTGTAGGCTTGATGATTTATTCATGATTGTAGTTTGAGGACACTGAAGCTGTGTGTTGGTCTGAGCTTTCTGCTGACAAGTGTGCTTTGTCAGCAGAAAGCTCAGGTTCAGATCAGGGCAGCAGAACGTCCTCCAGAGTCGAGAAGATTCCTAAAGCATGTAGACCTTCAGTCTCAGCAAATAAATTCTTAATTGAGGTTTTTTTTTTTTTTGTTCTTCCTCTCATTTCCTCGTGTGCCTTTTTCTCTTCACTTATTCAACAAACAGGAGTCTTCTCAAGTCTGTGGAGGAAGAGCTTCATCAGAGGTGAGTCAGACTCCTCTCACACCCTGATTGACCCAGGGTGCTTTGATTTGCCGGTCTTCTAACCACGCCCACCCATCAGCCAATCATTGTTAACGGCAGGACTAATTGGGCCAATCACACGCAACTAACGCTGCTGTAACGCCCTCAGGCTGTCATGGCCCTCAGCAGTTTGGACTCTCGTGGGTTTTTATTTTCCCTCTGCGGCTTGCTTCACGCTTTGATGTCATCAGGAAAAGGCTGTGCTTTTATAGGAGCTTCCTGCAGAGCATGGCTTACACACACACACATACACACTCACACTCTCTTGTGTGCATTCACCTACACACGCACACACACATGCACGCACGTACATGCAGTTTCTTAGCCAAAGCTGCAGTGGGTGTTCTTAGCAATTATACTGGCAAGTCTGTGGAGAAATTCTTCGTATTTGCCCCAAAGACAATGATGATTACCGTTTTTGTGCTTTGCTATTTTCTATGATCTGTTACGACAAATGTGTTTCAATGAATTCTTTGGTCTGCACAGTAACAAAGATTAAAGAGAGTTTTCACATCTCCAGACAAAGTGGGCAAAGTTGTCTTGTAAACCTTTTAGTCAGTGGGGCCCAAATTACAGTTCTTTTCTATGCAAGTCTTCATTGTTTACGAGGGAGGTCTGTTGGATCAATGTTTACTTACATGATCAAGTTATATTAAAATTATTATATTCTTTAAGCCAGTTTGGTGTTACACTTAAAATGTAGTTTCTCTAGTTTAGTTGCTCCCAGTTTTTCTCCTTTTTTTCGTCCCCATTAATGGACAGCAGTAATAGTAGAGCCCGGCCGCAGTTTGGAGACCTGCAGTAAATGCAGTTCTTGGTTTGTTTTAGTCTGTACATGTGCCTCTGAGGTGGATCTTACCATGCAGCAACACTCAACCTGTGGCAGAATACATACAACAGGAATCTGACAAGTAGATGAAAGTGGCTTTTTCTTGCTTATCTGTGACAGACAGTTGTTATTTATTCTGACGTGGTAAACCTAACCACTGTGGTATTCCCAAGGAGGATGGAGAGACTGTTAACAATTATTTACCAAGGCTTTTAGACACAGGTCTGATAGTTAACCACCTGACCATGATTTTTTTTTTTTGTCACAGCATATTTGTATACTTTACTGTATCTAAATACAAGAAAAGGGTTAGTTTACTATGTATGGTTTGGGCTTGAAGGTTCTGTTTGATGGGATAAATTTACAATATGTTCACTTTGAAGGGAGTCAGCTCAGTCCATTCTGTTTCCAAAGAAAGACAGTACAGGCTTTGTTGTTGTTGTACAGGTGTTCAAAAATAGCTCAGGTTATGCCTGGCTCAAATAAATAAAATCTAATAAGGGACTTCAAGAAAACTTTTCATACTCACTATCTGCTCAGTGTTTCTCTTTTAAATAGAAATACTGTTTTATTCACTGATTAACTCCACATGCTTCTACTTTGGTGCTTGTTCGATCAGTGCAAAGCTACTGTCAATGAGACTCATCGCTTTCTGCACAGATGCTTCACATTAAAAGCCTTCCTGATAGACTTTTACTGTGAAATATCTGCAGGTGTTGAGTTTTATTGACAGCAACTTATCACTGTTCAAAAGCATTGCAAAGTGCAATCAACTGCTGTTTAAGTAATAAAGGAGAACAGTGTTTCTGTTTAAAAAAATAAATAAATAAAAATAAAAATGCCATAGATATGTACATGATATTGAATTTTCACACCTCATTAATAAGGAAGTGTTTAGTTTTCATTAACGGCATCAAAAGACAATTAAGAGCAAATGACACAACAGGGAGACGACATTAAAACAACTTACTGTTTTCTCTGATACGAGCCAGTTTCAAAGAATGGATTGTTTCTCTGTGTAGTTAATATGAATAAAGGATATAAATTTCAGTTGAGTTGAATTGACTGATCAGACGTTGTGGAGGGGTGTGTAGATCTGCAAGGACTGTATAGGTTTAAACAGTACAGCTGAGTCAGGAAGTGTCTGGTTGTGGAATTAATCAGCAGCGAATTTTGAATAAATTCCCCTGTTGGTTCAGTTCTGTGGGAAATTTGCTGATTTTTTATTGATCTCAGTGTGAAGATGGGGCTCCACTATCTGTTTGGATCTGTTCAGTCCTTTCAGATCTGGGTTCAGGGGTTAGAGGTAGTTTGTGGACCAAGCTTCACTCAGCTCTCCCTCCCCTTCCCCTTCTTCCCCCAATCCTCTTCCACCTCCTCCTCCTCGTCCTGTTGTCATCTCCCATCTCCTTTGCTTGCTCCCTTTCTCCCTTAATCTCTCCCTCCTATGCTCTCCCTACTTCCAACCTCTGTTTCTACTCTCTTCCTTCCCTCCGTCCTTCCACCCCTCCCTTGTCCCTTCTTCCCCACTCCTATCTTCACCTCCTCTCCCAGGGGCCATGTGGCACACTTAGGGGATGATGAGGATGAGGATGATGATGGTGCAGATGATGATGAAACTCACACTCAGTAAGTTGTCTCCCAGTCTTAGAACTGGAAGCCTCTCCCTCCCTGTCTCCCCATCTCTCTTTCTTTCTCCACACATCCCTCCCTCTATTCAAAGAGGAAAGGAGGAGGATGAGGAGTATGGACAAGGAGGACGTCTTCCTGTCTTTGCCACAGTTTCATCCGTGCATCTCTATGCAGCACACCCCACCATCATGCCACACATATGCCACCTGTGTTTGTGTGTGTGTTTACAGCCTGTGTGTTTTCCATGCTGTTACTACTTGTGTGAAGTTTAATAACTACTAACAGTAACCCTAACCCCAAAAAACTGACCTGGAGGCTGTTAACATAGAAGGTTTTTACTTCCATGAAGACACAGGGACAGGGACTAGCTTTAGTCAAGGGTAGGGCTAACACGTAAATCCAGCTACATATCAAATTCTGGTGCATTTTATTTAGTTTTCCCTGATTCTAAGGGCCAGTCTTTGTTAGGTGCAGAGTATGAGGTCTGGGTGTAGTTTTGGTGTTAAGAGCATCATGACCTTGACATCTTATTTGCTTTTGTCTTGTTTTTTTTTCCACTTGCGCCACCATCTGTGTGCCTCCTTGCTGTCTGTGTGTGTGTGTGTGTGTGTGTGTGTGTGTGTGTGTGTGTGTGTGTGTGTATGCGTGTGTTCACTGCCTTCTGTCATCTCCGGCCTTTAAAAAAAAAAAACTGTCTATTTGGCGTCCAGCCTCGTCCCTCATTGTGTAAAAGCCAGACGTCTGCGGCGGACCGGAGCGTTCCTTCTACACAGACATTTTCCACTGAAGTCAGAAAGGCCTTTATACTTTCATGTTTTAGGTTTTTTGCTGATGGTCACATCCAGAGAACACAGTACAGTGATTGCAAAAATAGAAAGAACCTGAATTCCTAAATTGACTGCAACCAATTTTAGTGTAAAGTGAAATCAGAGCAACAGTTTCAGCTATTTATATGTTAAAAAGTTCATGTTTTACAGCTAAAACTGCTTGTGACATCAGAAAAATGCTTTACCTCCAGAATAGTTACTTAAACATTACGCTTTTAGCACAAGCTAACCATGCTGGCTATAGCTGTGTACTAGAACTCTGTAACTTGTTGTCACAAAATAAGCTTTTTGTGATTTCCCTTTGATAAATCCTGAACCAGCACGGATCCAGCTGCAGAAACAGTCAAGCTCTCCACTGTATCTGTTCAATCAGTAGATGTACTGCCGAGAGTGCTGTGTTACAAATCCTCTCACCTTCTGACACAGTTTCTGTGCCAAACAGATGTTTTCTTAGCAACCTCACAAGCTCAACTGAAGGAAGGTGTTTACCATTAGCATCCCACCACCATGACACATTTTCCAATACAGTGTTTGTTTTCATCGTTTGTTTTCATCTTAACGAGATGACTTCTGCATCGATGACAGACCATGTAGCTCCCAGCCCTGGAAGTGTAAACTGTGTCAGTTACTGATAAGTTGTAACTTCACTGTGATTGGTTGCCAGCCTCTCTGATCTCTGATTGGTTCATTGTCTGTCATTAACATGTTTCTCTTTAAATCTGTAGTCTATAAGGCGAAAGAGATAAAGTCTCTGTGAATACAGTGCTGGTCTGCGTTCAAAATGATGATTATTAGACGTTAACAGGTGTTTAAAAAAATGTTGAATCAAACAAGAAACAAGTGTAATGCAAATACAAAAAATGTTTTACACTTCTGCTTGATTAAATATTGTGTTTAACAGGTGCATCAAATCAAATGAGTACAATTTGATTTAGATTTATGTTGAATTTGAAGTGTTAGAAGTTAGTATTTTAACAAAAATGCATGCAGTAATTTCAGTGACACTGTCTTCATTGTGTTCTCAGTTTTTCAGTATCAGTGCTACTATTCTCAGAGACTTTAAAAATTGTAGTTTTTCATAATGATCCCTGGTGTGTCAGTCTCACTTTGTATGTGGCGGTTAACCCTTTACAGTAGTTATCTTGTGTCTGTCCTAGTGTCACAAAGTGTCAGGCTATGGTTGGACTTGTCATTTCAGAGTTTCCTTTAACCTCTGGTCATGTAGAAAACTGAATCTGGTCTGGATGCACAAAAAATGTTTACACATTGAACAAACTAAATTTCTAAAATCTGTGTGATTGTGCTTCTTTGCCTTTGTGTGATCTTTCTTATTCATCAAAGAACAGTTTAAAGAAACAGGTTTTTAAACCTCTATAGGTATACGCATGATTTTTAGTATGAATACTATAATGTGTGATGAAAGCTGTCCCTTGGGATCAAAGAGAAAGTTGCTTTAAAATGGCAAGTGACACCATAGCCTCAGTGGTGTTCCCAGTGTAAGTCATGTTTGTAATAAACAGCATTTTCCAGTTTAGTTTATGAGTGTAACATCAAGCAGAGTCTCAATCCTCCGTCTTCTCATTCTTCAGTAAATCAAGCACTATCATGAGGCCAAAGGTCCCGCCCCCGCTTCCCCCCAAGGTATGAACAACCGAACAGTTCAGTTTAGTGTCATCTTGTAACGTGGTTATTTGGTTATAGAATTGTTGTCAGAGCATTTTCAATACAACAGACGTTTTTTGTTTTTTGTTTTGAGTTTCGAGGGATTTCGCTCTCTAACTCTTTGTCTGCGTTTCTTCTCAGCCCAAGTCCATCTGCTCGTCCCAACAGCAGCAGCAGCAGCAACAAAAACAAGACGACAGCCAATCACACAGCGAGGACGACGGCGGAGGGGGAGGGACCATCAAACGCTGTCCGGTCCCAGAAACGCCGAGCCCGGCCAGGCCCGCCTCCAATGTCCCCCCGCGGCCCCCGCCCCCGAAGCTGCCACCCCACCGCCGCAGTAGCCTAGGTAACGAGAGCCCGAAGCGTACGGACGTCGAAAACTCTGCCCCAGAGGATGATGGGAGCTTTAGGCATTTCTGGGAGTGGCTCCACACGCCTCACACAGAGGAGGAGCTGGAGGAGGCGTGGGAGGTGCTGAAGGAGGTGAAAGAGGAGCAGGAAAAAGAGGAAAAGGAAGAGAGTAAGAGCAGCCGATTGGTAGATTGGTCGTGTCCGCAGCACCTGTCGTCCCCTTCGATTGGTTGTGTGGTCTCCCATTAGTCAGTCCTCGTAGTCTGGTTGATTTATTTGTTCCATGAGTTCATTAATAATAGTGCTTTTTAACTTTTTTTTTGTTTGTAGTTCCTTCCGTCCATCAGCCACTGCTCAATATGATTGTTTGTCATCTTTTGTGAAGTCTGATTGGTTCTTTAATCCAATCAGTCAACAGCAAGTAGTCTGCTACCACTTCCCCTCACTTCCTAGGAGGAAGAAGGAAGAGGAGAAAACATCGTCCTGGCTGATCAGAACATACACTCTTATGATGGTGCACATATGAATGAATCCTCTATTTACATTCAGGGCTAAAATACATACACTTAATGTCCCTGCTCTGTCTCTGTTGAAGGAGAATAATGATATTGGCTCAGTTTTGATTCTTTATCAAAAGTGCATTATCAACTCACATTCTTCCCATTGTTTGATTCATTTGGATTAAATTTGGTCTTTTCCGGTTCCTGTTAAATAGTCAAACACAAGAATTGCATCAAGGCACCAAATTATGAGTTTTTCCAATATTTTCTACATTTCCCATACTGTCTAAAAGCAGCGGAAATTTTTACAATTTCCACAGAGGGGAAAGAGCATTTTATTAGTTGTAATTGTTTAAAATATACATTTTAATTTCCTTTCAATCTCAGGACTATATAAAAAGCAGAAGTTAGCTAGTTTGGTTTAACTGTTTCCGTACTGTATTGATTGAGAAAAGGCAGGTCTGATTAAAACTTCCAAGTTAAGACATAATGAGCTCAGGTTGGCTGTTGGTTCTCAGATCAATTTTCGAGAGGAACTTTTCCAATTTCTTGGTCGTGCACTTGACGTTTTCCTGAATATTTAGATTTCCTACCTTTTCGTAGAAATCTAGGAAGTTGTTTATTGTGGTGTTTGGAGTTGCATCACAGAAGGAGTAAAACACACTGGAGAATGTGGTTAACTGCACGGTCACCTGTTTTAAAAACCAGCAGCAACACTGAAAGGATGAAAACAAAGACCAGAAATGTACCTTTATGCTGGAATGGTCCTTAAAGCTTTCAGCAGGCACGCATCGGTAGCGAAGCACGGTGTGTGCGCAAATGTGTGTGTGTCTGTCATTCTCTCAATCTTTACGGGAAATGATTTTGTTTGTAGCCACAGAGATTTGTCAGAAAGTCTCATTATTTGACTATTTTATCAGCCAACACAAATTTATTGAACATAATAGTGCATGCAGAGTGTAATGTGGCCTTCCAGCCATAACTGATCTATATTCACCACCGTCTACCCGGTGGTATATGGTGCATTCACACCTTCCTTTGATCATGACTATATTTGATCCTCTGTATTCTTCCTGCTAGCCTGCTCCCTCCCTCCTTCCCTCCCTCTCTGCTCCCAGTATTTGTTTGTTACTGTTTTAGTTTGACTCTCCTCTGTGTCTCTAGTCCTGCAGATTAGCAGTAGCAGAGTCACTGTCTGTTCTTTCACTCACTTTTCTCCCTCGAAGACACATCTGCATATGCACATACACTCTCCCTCTCTGTCCCCTCACACACTCACACACTCTCTCAGTTTCTCTGACACTCAAACACATTGTCTCCGTTGTTGTAGGTAATGGGCTGAACTCTCCACACAATGGTGAGAGGGACAGTCCAGCAGACAGACAGTCCACCATGCCCCCTAGTGTCCCCATACGGAAAGACAAGAAGGATGTTCCGGTAAGCAGACCTGGATCTACAGCAGTGACCCAGAGACCGCCAGAGATCCAATTCAAAATTGGATGTTTGCATTAAATTAGATAATTGTTTAAATTGCTCATATCGCTGTGGCACGGAGCAGATAAGTCAGGCACTCTGTGGAGTGCGTGGTGCAGATGAGGGATTGGTCGTCGCACGCCGTCAGGGTGCCTGTGCAAAGGAAGGGTGGCGTTTGGGCGCCTCCCACACCAACGACAAAAGCCAACACTGCACAGGGAAATTGTGGTTCCAGTTTTGTAACAGCACAATAAAATTAAAAATTAAATTCTAAAATGTTCAGGTACTGTGGAAGATTTGGTGATCTTGAAGGAGAAGCTGACATTTGTGGGGGCACCGCAACAAAAACTAGAGGGTTTTATCTTTATGCGTAACTTCAGCTTCATTAGTCCCTGCTCGTCAAATTGTGACACCCTGTGTAAGATTGACTCACAGGATCTCTCACAATCCAGTGCTGACCGACTTTGTGTGTGTGTTTGTGTTTGTGTGTGTGCGTGTGTGTGTGTGTGCGTGTGTGTTTATCTGTCTGTCCTAGAAGCCAATCAGTAATGGCCTCCCTCCTACACCCAAAGTCCATGTAAGTAACAATCTCTTTCGGCTCTCCTTCAGAAAACAGCTGAAACTTTGCAAAGATTTACCGCCGTATTTAATCACATGCTTCTCACATTTGTTGGATTATACTATTGAAAAACCATCAGATTAAAAACCCTGGAAGGAATTTCAACATGATACTGCATCATAATCTGCACAATTCTCAACAATTCTTCATCTGCACCACGTTTATATTTACCGGCCTATTATTTGCAGATGGGTGCGTGTTTCTCCAAGGTGTTCAACGGCTGTCCCCTGAAGATCCACTGTGCCACCTCTTGGATCAACCCCGACACCAGAGGTAACCAATAGGAAAGCAGACACAGCGTTGAACATCACCTCACAGGGTGATGAATGCACCACCCTGGCTCTTGAGGGAACCTGTAAGTATTGTCTGATGTGAGCTTTTGCTTTGCTCTAAAATGTTTTGTCTGTTTGTGTGTGTGTCGCAGATCAGTATTTGATATTTGGAGCTGAGGAGGGGATCTACACGTTAAACCTGAACGAGCTGCATGAGACCACGATGGAACAGGTGAGACTGAAGATCATGCACTTTAAGATAAGAGTAACATGCTTTATGATAATATGGTTTTCGCTTTATTTACATTCTGGTTCATACTTTTTACTCTTTTATGTGAGAATTTCCTCAGTAATGAGGGAGTCATGTTTTGTATCTGCCTGCAGCTCTTCCCTCGGCGGTGTACCTGGTTATATGTCATGAACAATTGTCTCCTTTCCATATCTGGTGAGCTCTAACGTATCTGTGTCTGTGGTTTTGATAGAAACGGTTTTACCGTCATAAGAGATTTATTTCAAATTTGAAGTCAAGATTATTCATTCTCTTCTGTTCTCTATCGTTTTATTCTGTTCTGTTTCATGCACTTCCAGGAAAAGCCTCCCAGCTGTACTCCCATAGTCTGAGCGGTCTGTTCGAACAGGCCAGACAGTTACAGAAGTTACCAGTAGCCATTCCCACACACAAGCTGCCTGATAAGATGATTCCCAGGTACCTCTCCGACCAGGAAGCCAAACCTATTTTATTGAAGTCCTCTGATGTATCGAACTCCAACACAAAAGCCTTTTTCTGAGTGAAACCCGTATTTCTTTGTTTATCTGTTTACAGGAAGTTTGCTGTGTCCAATAAAATTCCAGACACTAAAGGGTGCCAAAAGTGCTGCGTAGGTGAGTCATTGTGATGAAAGATTTCATACTTTTTGTGACCAGTACTGCGAGTTCAAGATGTGTTTCAAGTTTGTGTGTGCAAATATTGTTTCGTTCCAGATATACGACATTTCACAGCTAGTGATAGAAGCTAACCAAGCGTTAAGTATTACCCCACAAAGTAATACGTGATGATGTTTTGTTGTTGTCTCTGTGCAGTGCGTAACCCGTACACAGGCCATAAGTACCTGTGTGGAGCCTTCCAGTCCAGTGTCATGCTGTTGGAGTGGGTGGAGTCCATGCAGAAGTTCATGCTCATCAAGGTCAGTTTTTGATCTCTGCAGAATTCCTCATTTGTGTCTCCTCACCTCCATTTTTAGCCAATTTGAAGTAATAAAAAACATCTTTTAAATAAAATACTCAGTATCAAGACTACTGCCTACACCAAACTCGAGCACTACATCCAGATCTTTTTTGGATTTCTCTCTAAAGCAGCACAGAGATCACTCTTTGAGATCACAGACGACACCAATGTTTCACTGACTTTCTTTTCATCTATGCGGCAGAATATCGACTTCCCGTTACCGTGTCCATTGGAGGTCTTTGAGATGTTGGTGGTCCCGGAGCAGACCTACCCTCTGATCTGTGTGGCGGTCAGTAAAGGCACCGAACTCAACCAGGTGGTCCGGTTCGGCACCGTCAACCCCAACTCTACCTCCTCCTGGTTCACAGAAGCAGGTGAGAACAGAGTGACCAGTGCTGTTAATCTGACAACATTTGATTTGGTTAAAAAAAAGAAAAAAACAACACATTTCCTCTCACCTTTCTCTCTGCAGACACACCACAGACGTGTGTGATCCATGTCACTCAGCTGGAGAGAGACACTATCCTAGTCTGCCTCGACAGTGAGTAAAACACATTCGCACTGTGCAGCTTTGATGACTTCGGGTCAGAATGCAACAGATTTGCCAGAATGTGACTCAGCTACTTCATCTCTCTCCACAGGGTGTATAAAGATAGTGAACCTTCAGGGCCGGTTGAAATCCAGCAGGAAGCTTTCAGCCGAGCTGACCTTCAACTTCCAGATCGAATCCATAGGTATGAAGAAAAAAAAAGAGAGCCACACTTTTATATTTTAAATCACATCAATATAACTCCTGACATAAATGTTGAAACAGTTCAACTCAGGGCCACATCAAGAACCACAGGGTCATAAACTGAAAGAATAAGTTACCGTGAATCGACATGTGTGTCTTCCAATTTGCTCGTCTGTTTCTTTGCAGTTTGTCTCCAAGACAGTGTCCTGGCCTTCTGGAGGCATGGCATGCAGGGACGGAGTTTCAAGACCAACGAGGGGCAATTGATACTGTGTGTGTGTGTGTGTGGGTGTGTGTGTGTGTGTGGGTGTGTGTGTGTGTGTGGGTGTGTGTGTGTGTGTGGGTGTGTGTGTGTGTGTGAATGCAAACTAGAGAAGCCTATGGAGTGTGTAATGAGGTTCACTTCCAGACATCATGGCGGGATGTTATTTAATCTCAGACTATAATAGGATTTTGATTACAGTTCTTGAAGCTGCTGATTTCCTGTAATGTAAGTGGATTAATGGAGCATGAGTTTAAATTAATTGTATAGGTACATTCATTTTAGACCTGCAAAATAGCTTGAAAAGGGGAAACATTTGATCAGGGATGCTGATCCCTGCAAACCATCTGGCCTTGTGAGAGAGAGGCAGGTTTTAAAGACCAGGATCCAAACATTTTATCATGAATATCCAACTTATTTGCTCAGTAACCTTCAATCACATGATCCCTATTTTACTTGACCATGATACTTGAAGTTTATCTACCACCCTACGTCAGACCCTTTGGACTGCTGGTTCCTCCTGGCGAGCTCTGACCTTGACTTTGTCTCTCTCGGCCCTTGTCTTCTCTTCCATTCCCCAGATCACCCAGGAGATCTCTGACAGCACACGCATCTTCAGACTACTGGGATCAGACAGGTGAGAACACAGACACACACACCATCACATACACACCGACTTCTCACTTGATACACATCGCACACATAGGCCTCTGTTAACACCCACTCTGATGTCTTATCACTGAAGACGTGCTGACTGTAGAGATCCAGATGCAGAGGACAGAGGCCGCACTCTGCCCAGGTACACTCACTGCTCGCTGGCCACAGACGGCCTAAAACTCTCCCTCTTTCTGTCGGGGACTCTCGAGGTGTGCATGACGCCAGATTTCAATGATCGGGAGCTTTAAGACTGTGTGGGAGGAAGTGTGTGTGTGTGTGTGTGAATGAGAGAGAGAGAGAGAGAGAAATTACACCAAAGTGATTTTTACCAATGAAGTCATGACAGCATAGACACCAAAATCATCTTTGTCTGGTCTGATGCAGCATGTTAACACTATATTTAACTGACAGCAGGACAGCTTGGTGCCTGGGATCAGTAGAACCTGCACAAAATATATTTGCTCTGAGCTACCACTGGATAATTTTGGTGCCTGCTGTTTCATTCTCCAACGGCTGAGTGCCTTTGAGTTATAATGTGTGAATGTGTGAGCCTTTGGGTCCCTGTTAAAACGGTATTAACAGCTTTGTCACAGTTTTCCTCCGGGTAAACAGAGAACACTTCATGAGGGGCTTAGTTACGAAACAAATCACATCCCTCCGCTGCCTTTTTCCAAATAACAGGGCTTTTAAAGGCTTGGACCATATCCTGCGTGGGTTGCTGGCTGTCTTTACATATTGCTACAGTAAATCCTGGGTCTTTACTATGTCTTCTTACTTTATTTTGTCAGAAATACTTATAACATGCTGAAGCATACTGGGCTGTTCTTTTATCAGGGACTTAAAGGCAAAAATTAAAACTCATCAATTTTATTTTCCCTTGAAACTAAAGTGGATGTATGTGTGTGTTTGTGTGTGTGTGTTTGTGTTTTGCAGAGTGGTGGTGCTGGAGAGCAGGCCTACAGACAACCCTACAGCCCACAGCAACCTCTACATCCTGGCAGGCCATGAAAACAGCTACTGAGACATGCACACATACACACACACACACACACACACACACACACACACACACACACACACACACACACAAACAGACACACGCTATAAACAGCCTACCACTAATGCAAACAAGGGAGTAAGCAACCAGGAGACACATTCAGCCCAGTCCTACCGCTAATCCCCCCCACCCATCCACCCAGCCTCCACCTTCTCACCTGGCCTGCCAGCAGTGTAACTGGGAGACGAGCAGTTCGTGGGTGCAGATGCGGATTCCCACTTGCAGACGATGAAAATGCACCGCAGTTTTATATGTGTATGAGTTAAGTGCGTCGTAGTAAGACGGCGGGGTTGTGGACCCATTTCCGACAGGGCGAGGGTTAAGACAGCTGGTCTGAGGCCAGTTCGGGTTGCGATAGCCAGGGAGTCTCTTCTCTGCACCTCACGAGAGCGACTTCAACCCACAGTCCTGATACCATCCCACCTTCCCCTGCACACTGCACACTGGGAAAACAGCATCCAGCACAGAAGTTCAACTTCAACACTACTTCTACTACTACTACGTCTACACACACTAGTACTACTACTGCTACTGCTACTTGCGCTAAAGCTTCACAGAACAGCCATCTTGCACAGAAAACCTTCCCTCCTCTCTCCTTTGTCGTCTTTTCCTGTCTCCTCCTCCCTCTTTCCCCTCCTCCTTTTAGCCTCCTTTTTTTCTTTTTTTTTTTAAACTACACATTTATTTATTGTGGCATGATGTAACTTTAACAACCAGGATGGCTTTCCTGTTTTATTTGTTTGGTTTTTTTTTTTAAAAAAAGGATAAAAAAGAGAAAACAGACTAAAAAGCTTTGCCACCTCTGCTAGCATCGAATTCCAGTACCCGTCACTACACCACACAAGTGCTTAATTGACCTCTATTTAATTGTTGTAAATATAAATGTAGTATTTTTTGACAGAGACGAACACTAAAAAGACTGGTCGTGTAGATAGGTGTGTGTATAGTTGCTCTGTACAACCGTGGAGACGAACAGAGAGACGGACAGGCGTGGAGGAGTGACAGGGCAGTAAATTCACGTCCTAGATCCCTGATCATGTGACGAGGGTCAGGAAGCAAAGACCCCCTGCAGTCTCCTCAGGTGGACAGCTTTAGTAATCCGATATTATTCTAATAATGATCCGGAGCTCAGGATTGGACTGAGCAAAAGCAGGAAATGTCACTGATTGGTCATTTTCATTTTCGTTTTGCATGCGTCACCATCGAGACTTCCTGCTCGTTTGCACCATAGCAACTGTCAACGGGGCAGCGGACGTTTTGAGTTCTATTCATTTAAGTTTCTTTTTCCTGTTTCAACATCATCTGTTTCGTTTTTTTTTTTCTTTGTTTTTGTTTTAATCAGAAAGCCTTTTTTTTTTTTTCTTTAAATGGTGTTTTTTATTTTTATCGAACCACTGGTGTTAAAAATTTGCACAGAGAAAAAAAAACTTATTTGATAAACAAATGTGATGTCATTATAATATATGACCTTGTGTGTATGCACAGTGTGTGTGTGTGTGTATGTATGTGTGTGTAGTCATAGAATATGCACATACGAGTGCATCATGTACAGGTCTGGTCTTTAATAAGTGACAGTTGTGTTTCTGCCCGAAGCCCCTTGAAAAGAGCACCAAGAAAAAAAGCTGAATTTACACAGAAAGAAAAATCACTTCTATTTTTACACTAGACCTGGTATATATTAACTGTTAGCCATCATTTCTAGCATTAAATTTAACTGGAGTTGTACTGTATAAATGAAACAGTATATTTCACTGGATCTATAACCAGCAGCAGAAAAACACCCACCTGGATAAAACAAACACACAAGATCCATCGAGTCAGGACAGTATTCACATTTTGTCCAGATAAACCTGCTTATAGACAGAAAATGTAACTGTGTTTTAGCTTTTTCAGTAAGAACACTTAAACACATTTAGCAGCAACTGCTAGTCGGACAGAAGCTAGCCCAGAGATGGGGGAGGGGGAGGGGTGGTGGGGGTCTTTAACTTTTTAATTGATTTTTTTTTTATTTCTGTGCAACATTTGAGTCATTTTAGTCATATATTTGCTTACAACCCTCATCGCTGTGACTTTTTCTTTAAAGGCCAACATCTGTATGAAAGCTCACACTACATGCATGTCGATGTGCACCATGTGGTTGTGGTGTGTTAGAGAGTCTACATGTGGCAGTACACTACCAGTCTTTACAAGCTGTGACACTAGAGGTTGCTTTCAGAGGATGTGAACACTAGTTTAGGTCCACACTACACACCGTCTGTAATGCCGAACTCTTAACAGAGCTGAAACATTTGAGTTCATTTTTCAAGTGGGGCACGTGTCTCAAACACTTCTTCATTTTCTCAGATACAGAGGTGTAAACTGCCGCAAATACAGTAAATGTACAAGCAAAAGCAAAGCACACGTGTGGCTTCATCAGGTCAATGTGACATTAAATACTGTTAATGTAATGATGTAGATGTGATCAGTGATCACTGCCGTGACAACAGTGATTTCTCTGCTTGATGGAAACTCAAAATTTAATGGTAATTGTTCCATTTTGTACAAACCTGGGTAAAAATGTACGTCCGTAATCCAAATGCAGTCCAGTGCTAAATTATAACGCCGTGTTACAGACTGAAGGTTTAAAGATTTAATTTTATGGTCAGAGTTTAATAACAGCTAAAATATAATTGATACAAGAGGAACAGGAACAATTACAGTATTGTCGTATTGACTCTAGCTTTGGAGTAAATTGATAATTCATTAATACGGGTGGCAACGTTTCAGCTCTGTATAGACGTGTCCCTGGATGTTACTGAGGTGGTTGTAAAAAGGGACATGCCGCCATATTGGGAGACATGAATGTGTACCAACATGGTGGCGTGTGCCTCTTCTCCAGACCTTTTAGAGATGGAAATCGCACCAATGCCCCAGCACACGATTTCACTTGTGTTTCACTACGATTTATTTATGAGTTAACATATCCTCTCAAAGGATTCCAGCTCCTGATGCTGTATTGCGCTGTTGTGGTGAAGCAACTAAATCAAAGCATAGTCTAGTTAAGTGTAGAGAGTGTGAATCCACTTTGAGGATCTTTTTTTTTATCTCCTGTGCACACTTGTCTTGTATGAAAACAAAAAACACCCACAGAATGTTGCTTTGCACCTGGAAAACATCTGTCGGAAGTTTTAATCCTACAAGACATTATGACAACGTACTAAATTGCCATGTAGTCAGTTGGGAGCAGAAACCTGTCTTCCTTCGTGCTGCTCTATATGAGACTCTGAATGCTGTTTTGAAATTTGCCCACAAGTCATTTCAACTCTTCAGGCAGCAGCCGGGGGTTGATTCAGAGATGTGCTCAAACCACGAGACCCGAGACGGGCGATTCAGCTCTGACCATGCTAATACGAGTGCGTCTAGCCAACATCCGTTAATACAGACATGTTACAGTTTCAGACACAAAAATATTTTCCCAACAGTTTGTTCATTCAGCGTTAAAAAGACATTAGTTATACCAAATATACTGCATCGCCTCACATTGACATCATCAGCCATTAGGCCGAATTAATCACTTTCAATATTTAAGCTCAGTTCGTACAGTTTGATTGGTTCCTCATCATTTGATCAATTTAAATATAACCACCCTGTTGCTAGGTCATCATATATTTGGAAAAAAATGAATCAAACATTCCTTTACATGACGGCTCGGTTTATGTCTAAGAACATATATTATATGGAGTTTACATTTCTTTTTATTTAAATGTAATGCCAAAATATGATGTTGACATTTTTCTATGGCCAAATTTAGATAGTCTACCTCGTGGTATGCCCCTAGACGAAAACACAGAACAATTTGTCTGATTCGAAAGACAGCCATCAACAGTGTGTAAGGTGAGAGTGAATATGAAACGTGTTCTCTGAGGCTCTCGTTAAAGCGTCTGTGTCCTCTCAGTTGACGTGTGTCAATGAGCAAAAGCTGAGAAATCTCTTATGACATCTCAAGCCCCAGAGAAAACACTCATCCTGTATCATAGCAGCTCATCTAAAATCATTAAAAGTATGTATTGATTTAGTCTTAATTGACTATAGAAGCGGTTCTTTTTTTTTTTTTCTGTGGGGTTTATTAACGTTTACTTTTGGGAAAATTGTCCCTTTATTACAGAATAACAAATGAATGATTGAATGATATCTGCAGTCATAGACACACATTTAATCTATACTCCACTAAAGCAGGTGCCAACATGGCCCTCTACTCCTGGCTCACATCATGTGACAGTAATTCATAGGGATTGTTTTGAGATGATTTGGGCAACAGATGTGTGGATTTTCTGAACGAGACACAAAGAAACATTTCCCCTGGATTGCCTCTTCTTTCTGCCGCTCATAGTTTCCATGCGGTGACCTCCACCTATTTGGTGCTCCAAGCACATAGGAGGAAACACAGATGAGTTATTTGCAAAAGCTGTTTGATCCAGGTATCTTCCCAATATTAAACGAAACACGAGTCTCCTCTGTTCTGTCGCGTTAACATCACCTTTGTCTTTTTGTTTTCATGATGCAATGCACACGTTATGAAATGTATATAGTGTAAAATAAAAATGGGTTTGTTTTACATACTGTATAATTGCCTATATTTTGTTTCAGAAGTGTAACAGATTTATGAGATGACAGGTTAACACATTAAAAAGAAGGAACTGAACCATCTGGTGTCTCATGCTGGTCATTTCTGATGAGAGTGGGCTTTGTTCGTGTAACATATTTTGATGTGTCACAGTCGGAAAAAAAAAAGCACAGCTGTAAATAATGATATTGACGATGGCTGGTTTGCGCGTTCGATCGGGGTCACACCCACGGTCATGGCACAGGGACAATTCAGTGCAGAAAGAGCCATCGTTAATGTTATCAGCAGCATCTGTGCTATTTCTACTCTGGAATTGATCCTTTTTAAACAGCTCTACAGAAGCAGCTCTTGTACAGACATTCCTAAAAAGGGCCGTATATTCATTTAAAATCCAGACAAGGACACATTTTAATACGGATGTGAATGAATCCAGGTCCAGTGAATATCATCCAGTCCAACCTGCACCATGTACAGGCAAGAGAGATTTTGTTATATCTCTTTTTGTTCGCTTGAGTCTTCATATTTTTTATTTTAAACCTGTCACTTGTTTTATTTTTGTTGACTGGTGAATATTTGAACTTTAACCTTTTTATTAAAATGGATTACATAACTATGTTAGATCCGTTTGCTGTGTTGTTCCAAACCTTTTTCAGCATGTGATCATTCAAAATGAGACGCCCAGGTTGGAAACACAACCCCAAACAACGACTGAGTAACAGAACATTTAATCGCTCAATTGTTACAGCCACAAGTTTTAACTGTATTAAAATGTGATTTTCATTTAAGCTCACTGGTTCCTTTCTAACAAGAAATCTGCTACGTGTGAAATCAAACCAAGCTCCATGAAATGTTTCCCTACCGCTCTGGTAGATTAGGAGCAGTAACATTTTTACAAATCCCATCATCACAATTTCTTCTTCTCCTTTACGAACCTGCACAACACGCGACACTCTCTATTCGTTCTATCAACCACCTGAGCCACAGAGAGAAATTCTCAGTGTTGACCTTTATTGAACATTGTTTCCTGATTCATCTATTAACAAGACAGTTCTACTCTGTGCATAGAAATAATTGCCACAGGGATAATCATTTAATCAAACTGTTTAATGGTTGTTCTCCTGAGTATATGCACAATATAATAATATCTGGTTATGGCTTAAGAAATTAAGCAACCATAGAAATGTCTGCTAGTAAGTTTACACAGATTTGAAATTTGGGGTGCAAATGAAACGCATCGAAGGGAGGGGCAAACAGGGAAAGAAAGGTGTTAGTTAGAAAATCTTTTAAGAACTGGAGGTAGAGCAGAGCTATTTACAGTACAGGGATGGAAAGTGTTAAACTACACCATCTAGTGGGCAGGTTTGTAACAACCGATTCACAGATTCACTGGCAAAATGTTTTTGACAAAATTAACAAAATAACACTGAACATGGGCAAAAATTCAACCAACTACTTTGATTTAAAACAAACAAAAAAAAAAAAATGGCCTCCCCAGTATAACCATGTTAAGTGCTTTCCCTCAGTGTGAAGGCCAGGGGCAGGACTCTGTCTTTCAAATAAAAATCACATGGAAATGTTAAGAGGAAATGTTGCTTAGCTAAATAGCTTATACCTGTACAGCATTTATACAGCAGTTGTAAAAGTAAAAAAAAAAAAGTCTCATGTGGCACTTATTCAGCATGCATGCATTACACCGTATATTTGACCAGTCTGTGACAGTGGGGTGGCGTTCATACAGCTGTACCACGGTTTATCTCCAGATGCACCAGCTTGGGATTTTTCCCTGACATGTCATGTTCACCGTTGTTGTGGTTTTCTGGTGTTTTCTCACCTCCCTTCTCTTTCTTCTCATCGCTGCTCCTATTAGAAAGAAAGAGCGGCGGTGAATTTGATACCTTCATGTCACTCTGGAAGTTATTTAAGAAGGTATTTCTAAAAAATGCACTCTAATGAAACAAGATGCTGCTTTTGAAGGTAAAACTTTACTTCCTTCACACTTTTTGCCATCTCAAACTTGAGAGAATTAATTTGCTCTCTTTCAGCAGCTACAGTATGAATGTGCATATTTTCATGTTACATTATCACTCTCACTTTTTCTTGAAGAGTTTCTTGAATGAGCTCCTGAAGCCTCCTTTATCCTGCTTCCGACTCCTCTCACTGAAGGGCGTGTGGTTATTCTCCTCTATCCCACCCCTCCACTTTGATTCGTCCCCCCATGACTGGACCCCGGAGTCCTGCTGGGGTTGAACACAATATTACATTTAATTATGGTCTGATTACATCTGGCACCATCTGTAGTGCACAAAATACTAATTCGCTATGTCTGAAACTGATCGAAATGTTAATTGTTACAGACAAAGTTCACATCTTTGCTGACACCCACCATGCAGAGCAGCCCGTGAAGATCGTTGCTCTGTTTGTCTGTATCCAGTCTGTTTCCCAGGGGGCTGTGGACCATACGAGATGGAGTTGGACACCCTTTGCTGCCCTTGCTGCCCTGGCGCTCCAGCTTTGCATGGCTGCCCAGTCCCACTCTTTGGAGGGGGTCTGATAGATGTCCACCGTCCAGACTACTCACTGTGTTGTCCATCTGCAGGCCGTTCAGCGACTACATAGTAGAGAAAACGTACATTTTGATTTTTACACATGAAAAAAGGTCATTTCTCTCCATGTACGCAATCAAGAAAAAGCTCACCTTGCTCTTACGCTGGCTGGCCTGAAGGGGGCGATGCAGGTTGCGGCGCATCATTACAGCTTCATCCGGAGACACGCATCCTCGGTTGGGCAGTTTGCTATAACCGTTGCCGTGGCTTCCACCGTTGCCAAAGACATCACGGGTTGTCGACACATTCGCTGCCATTGCGTGATGCGATGCTGAGGGGCCTTTGGGGCACTTCACGAAGGCAATGTCAATAGAGGAATCTGAAGAGCCGGACGAGCAGTGGTCGAAGACATCATGAAGGGAGCCTCCATCCTCTTCATAGAGGCTCTCCATCCCTGGGGGGTCTGGAGGGAGAAGGAACTCTCCGAGAGCATCGGCCAGAGCAGAGCCCGGTTGAACCTGACGGAAGTCTGAAGGTCTGGAGGGAAGATGATGCTGGCACGACAGGGACCTCTCAGATGCCTCACTCTCTGGGATACTGCCAAGACCTGAAAGCCAAAAGGTTGGTTGGCTGGTTGTGATTCATACCAGCACCAGATGTGCTACTCAACAGGGTTCAGTAAGCTTCAAACTAAGTGGTTTATATGAAGTGCATCTGAAGATGATTGTACAATGCAGGAGCGAAAGGCCTGGGGATATCAGTGCACTCTTTTGAACAGGGTCGCACTTCACAAGTTCAGACACTGTTCGACAATCTGACAAGCACTTTAATTTGAAGTATACTGATGCTTCCCCAGATCAGCTTAATAAAACTCACAGGTTTCCTGCAAATGCCCAAACATCAAACAGAAAACAACAAAAAAAAAAACATCATCTGTTTCAACAACCATTAGTCTCTGTAAACACACAGACCTGTTGGCTTGTGGTTCCGTGAGTCCAGGTCAGGGCTGAAGAACGGGAGCTGGGAAGGCCACTCAGTGTCATAACAGTGAGTTTCGGGATCCCGGTCCCGATTCCAATCCTGGAAACGGTGAGACTGGATCTGCTCCAGGAGATGCTGTTTGTTGCGTTTCACCTGGTTTGCACGTTCCCTGTTAGGAATGAATGATTCATAAAGACGATTCATCAAAAGTTAACCTACGGTAACCTGCGGTATGTCGCCTCCTTGGCAACAAGCAGCAGACAGACAAAGTTAGCAAGTGGATGACAGATTTTCCCTCACAAGCAGGTGGAGACCAAAACAGAGCTCTAATCACACTAATCCAAATGTTGCTCTGTGGATGTGTGAATAGGAGAGCGTCTGATAACATGTCAGCTAGAGCAGCTTGATGAGGCAATAATCTTTCAGAGCTGTGGGTCTGTCAGGTTGTTTTTCTCCCCCCTGAGTGGCCGCAAATATTATTTCTTCACTGAGGAATCAGTTTCAAAGACTAAAGTTCGTATGTGAAGGTCGACGAGCTGATGTTGCTGAAGGCTGGTGATGAACTGCAGGATGAAATACTTACAGCATGGCTGCACTGCTGCAAGGGTACGGTGAGCCAATGTTGTTAGCTTGAATTCCACTTTCTACTGTCTTTAACAGCTGTTTCATGGTAGACCTACGGGGGGGGGGGGCACACAGCACAGTGAACAAACAGCTTCACCTCATTTTGTCACATTCAAACACTCGGAATATGTCTTGGTTATCCTCTGAAGCGTGCATTTAATGTTATCTATTTATTTATTCATTGAAGCATGGTAATTCTGACCTCTTCACCTCCTTGCGGTTGTGCAGCAGAAGCTCCTGGTTGTGCTGGAGGAGGTGGTGGTACTGAGCTGTGAAGGACCTGAACTGCTGGATGCTCACCAGCAGCAGGTAGTAGTCTGGGTGCTCTGCATCTGTTTGCCTCAGCAGCCCCTGCACACACAGATATATGATTTACTTAAGTTTGTTCACAGTACATGAGCATATTTCTTTTTGTTTCTGCTTTATGATCATGTTTCTTTATGTATTACTTCAATTGAGTGTGTGTTGATCTGACCTGTAGCAGCAGCAGGTACTCAGGGATCCTCTGAACCGGCTGAAGGAGCAGAGTGTGGAGGGAGGGTTTGGATTCGTCACCCATTATGTCACTCTGACAGAAGCAGCACAGGTCGACCAATCAGGATGGAAGAGCAAAACCAGTTAGTACAGCAGGTGCAACCAATGTGACTGTATTCGGCTGTGTCTGCAGCTGTTGTACACACAGGATTTTTATTTTTATTTTTTGGATCACCAGCCAAAGTGGCTTCTAGGACATTTAAGACTCATCAGAGTGGTGTTGGATTCACAAAAATATGTATTTTAGCTTTCTCTTGTCACTTCATTTACTCAATATCACACCCTGTCCTTTGATGTCCTGCCTTGTGCTTTCATGTTAAACCATAGTCATGATTTTGTTTTTACCTCCATTAGGGCAGAAGACTTCACGGAGCTGGAGGCGAGCATGGTGACGACCGACAAACAGTCTGGGAGCTCCTTCAGGTACGACACGTAAAAGTCCAAGAAATCACTCTGCAGGGAGACGGAGAGAGAGACTGTCTGTTTACATTTTTCCACCTCCTCTGCTGTCGTTACTGTGTGATAGTAAAACTGCAGCAATCATAAACAAACTTAAAGTAAACCTCAGATTAACTGTTAACTGTAGAAAAAAAAGCACTATGATGATGAATTTTAATACAATAAATATTTTTTTAAAAACAGAAAAATAAATACAGGATTTCCTTCCTTCTGTTTTTTCTTTCTTTCTTTCCTTCTTTGTGTACTGTGTACTCTGTTGTTATTTCTTCAAATAGGCAATTGTTCTTATCAGTCACCGCATTTCCTCCCATTCACTCACAGCCAATTAGCCAGGCATTGGCTTTAACAGAATAGACTCCTTAGCTTCAGTTTATTGTGTCTGCGTTTGGCTTTCAGTTTGGTCGCCACTAACTTGGAGCTAATATCACAAAACAAAGTAGAATTCAGTATTTTTGTTTCTTTAAATCGACACATAGGAAATCTGACTGGGAGTGCATTCAAAAGTTTTATAGAAATAACAGTTTTTATATAAAAATCATTACATAAGCTTCACCAGTTGTATTATAATTTTGTCTATGAGGATTTGTATTATCCTTTGTGTCATCGGTCATTTTGTGCCATCCGTACCACATCTGTATTCCAGCGCCCAACATGGCTCCGCTGGAATTTCACATTTCTTCTAATGTCGGTCACGGCTGCCAAAGTGATTCCGATTCATTATAAATGGCCAGTCACAAGGTCAAACCACCGCTCCACACGAACTGGCCTGGAACAGCACAGTGTTTTTGTGAACGTCAAGCTTTTGATTTACAAGCGAGTAAGATGGAGGTCCAGATCTTGTTTTTACAGTGCGGTTGAACCTTTCCGACATTTCTGAAGGTTTTCAGTGTCAGAAAGGTGACAAAACATTCCTGTTATTTTATCTGCAGTGGGAAAACTATGACAAAGTGAAAGCAAGTGAGGAAATGATAAGAGATCTCAAATTATCTGTTTCAACTGCAAGGAGAAGAAATGTCAGTTTGAAGACTAAACACTTAAAAAGACAAGAAGTGAACATCTTTAATGGATCTGATCTCACATGAAAAAGGACAATAACCACTCTCGTATAGTTCTCGGTGCTTCTGAGCAGAGGGTGTGCAGTTTCCCTTCAGACTGATGGTCAAAGACCGTGTCACGTACGTATGTCATTATGCAGTCTAATTCTGTGTTTACCTCTTTGCTGGTGAGCCTCATAAACACATCCCCCATGATGCCTTGCCACTGGCACTTGAGCACACGGTCCTGGAGAGTGTGGAGGAGCTCGAGATGCTGCTGGATCAGAAACCTCAGAGAGCTAGGGAATGGACTAAAGGCAGCGAGAAAGAGAGGAGATGGTCTAAATTACTTTCAAATTTTTTTCACTTTATTGAATAAACATAGAATAAGTGAAGGCATAAAATGATAAAATGAGAATGACAGTAGAATGAAAGTAGAGTAAAATCACAGCAGAAAACAAAATGTAAAAATCTGGCCTTTGAGACGACAGAAAAAAGCCAAGGAAGGAAGCATTTCCTGCTCCCACTATTGGCTCTTATCCAGAAGTAATTGCAAACATCCTTCATGGCTGTACTTTCATCTAACATGCTAAACTTTCTGGCAATTATTGTGCTATCTTATGTGACAGACATCTGGCAGCAGGTAAATCAAGTTAAAACAAATGCAATCATTTACAAATACCATTTGACCCAGTTCAGCAGTTGCACCTTTTCATTTGTGCGTTCGGTCATTGGGAACACGTGGGCTGAAGCTGACCAGTGATTTCATTAGAGTCTTTTTAAAAGAGTATCCTCTCTGTCCCACTGGTGTATATAACCTGCTTTTATTTGATTAGTTCATTTCCTGTTCTCCCCTTGCTGCAACCTCTCAAATTAGATCAGTAGCTATCTTGGAATAAATTCTGAGTTTTGATCTGTGTGTGTGTTTATGTGGATGTGAGAGAGGGAGATGACCAAAAAGAGAAATGACTCATAACATCAGGGAGACCTTTTCTACTCCAGATAACGTTGGGAATATCCGGGTCATTCTGAGTTTCCTTAGGTTGTGGGTTCACCTTCTTAATTAGATACACTTTTTAAATAAGACCTCAAAACAAGGAAATTACCTTCCTGTCCGTTATTGGTTAATTTCAATTATGTCTCTTAATGTCTGTTTTTGTAAGATTTCAAGATCTGCCCCTTTGCAAGTTTTGTCAGACTGAACTCAGCTGTCTTTGTGTGTCCGTAGTCTTACCGTTTGTCTTTGGTGGTGAGCGCCTCTGAGCCGTTGAAGGAGATGTTGGCCTTCAGTAACAGAGACAAGTGGGAGACGTAAACTCTCTCTGACTCCAGGAGCTCCAGAGCCGCTCTCTGTCTCTTATCTGCACGCACAGAAGCACAATAAATGTTTCATCACTCATATTCTGCATGTTCTGTTTTCTTGTGGCACTGCAAAAGCCAAACATGTAGCGGTGAAAAGCAGGGAACTGTACCAGCCCTCAAACTGACAAAGTCATTCTCTGCCATATGTGCAATGTTGAGTACTGAGGAAGGAAGAGTTCAACATTTTGGGAAACAGAGAGTTAGATGAGAAAGATTGATGTCACTCTCATCACTCTGTGTTCAGTTTGAAGCTGGAGCCATTCAGTGTTAATGAGTGAGTCACTAATGAGTAACACACTGCATCTTGTTTGTTTAATTCGTACTAAAAAAACTAAGATTTAAAAAGACAGTTTGTGGAAACGATCCAAGAGCAAGTTTACAGTATTTCTCCCTGCTTCCAGTCATCATGCTAAGCTAAGCTGAGCTAAGCTAAGCTAACTGTAACATTACATTTATGTGCATGAAGTGAATGACATGATCTTTTCCTCTAACTCTTAGCCAGACTGCGAATGCATCACATGTACTGTGTGTGTAGTAGCATTAGTGAGCCAGCTGTAGATGGTCGTGTTAGCAGCAATAGTTGCAGCAGCACTAGTAGCAGTTGTGAAAGTAACACTTGCAGTAGTGCCAGTGACATGATGTATTTCTTACTGTTTTCAGTCTGGCTGTTGGGGGTTTCTGTGTCGTCTCTGCTGTTCTTCCCCTCTCCCCACGCTGGAGACTTGGACAGACAACCCCTCTGCTGCTGTGGTTGAGGCTCCTTCTCAGAGCTAGAGGCTGCAACACACACACACACACACACACACACACACACAGAAATGTGAGTAAGTGGCTCTTATTGGTCTTTCCTCTTAACCCTACCCATCCTTTTGGTTTAGTGGCTAGACTAGACATTAAGGCCACACTTTATTGTAAGTCATTCTGTTTAGTATTTAAGAGCAATATATAGATAATGAATACATACTTTATAATACATTATAATGTAGTTGCAAGCAGATAGTGTTTATTAATTGTCAGCAACTATAACACTATGAATGAGACTATGAATGATAGTGTAGTTAATCACAGTTGCATAATATGTGTGTGTATTTATAATATAAGAAATGTAATCATATTGTACATTGAGAAATATTTTTACATTACTGTTACTGTTTATAAACTCTAGATAGGGGTTAAATGTTACTGACATTTACAAACTCAGCCACACACACAGACTCACTCTGTGTAGACGTGTTGCTCCTCTGTGGTGACCCGCTGTGTGGCAGACTGGAAAAGAAGTGTTGAATAACGTTCAGTTCTGATTGGCTCGGCACGCAGATGTGTTCATCCCCTGATGCCGTTAGCACATCTGCCTTGGAGCTCTTTCTACTTTTGGACCAATCAGCACAGTCCAAGGGGAAGAAGCAGAAGAACATAATGAAAAAAAATAAAATAAAACTTATTTGCCAAGTTACACAACACGGTTGATCTTTTTGCATCCAAAAAAGCCAAAGCAGCTCTTGAGCAATTTCACATGCTGCACCTCGCTCAAGGGCACTTAAATAATATGAGTCGGCATTGTGGAGATCACATTTAAACAAGGATGATCTGTCTGTACAGACAGAGATTATCAACAAAAAAAAACAGCAAGTAAGAGAGAGGATTGAAAAAGATAGAATTCAAATGTGTTTTTGTGGGTGAAACAAATGAGTGGAAACATGCATATACTGTGTACAGTATGACAGTGTGTGTTTCAGCCCTACCTGTGCGGAACAGAGATGGCATCCTTGCTGTTTTCAGACTGCAATATTTCTATCCTCTTCTGAACCTCTCTCTGTCTGTTGGACACGTCCTTAATGTGGAACAACGCCACATTCAGCTCCTCCTGCAAACAGATTATACAGAGGGGCGGCGTTAGTGTATCTGCTATCAACCCATAAGACTGTCTGTCTCTGTGTGGTTTTTTTTTTGTAACGCTGTAAACAAAGATTTGGAGGGAAATCTGCTCTAGGGCGCAAATGATGAAGAGGGCATTTTTTTCTTCCAGAGCAGCTTTTGATATCTCTAGTGATGACAGACGGGACAATTACACCGACATGTTTAACTTCTTCTGTAAAGCTCTGCGTTGGCACAATCATGTGTGTGTGTGTGTTTGTGTGTGTGTGTGTGTGTGTGTGTGTGTGTGTGTGTGTGTGCAGATTGAATGTGATAAACACTAATACATTCCACATCTCTTACAACATGGGCCACATGAGGGATGTACATTCTCTACCGCTGAATGGCAGTGTGAGTGTGAGTGTCTGAGAGAGTAGCTTTATATAACCTAATAAATTGAATTAGTTTACATTTTCAACTGAGTTCCAGTCAGATGTTCTAAATTATGTTACAGTGGCCACTCCACCTTTCTGAGAACAGACTGTGTGTGTGTGTGTTTGTGTGTGTGTGTGTGTGTGTGTGTGTGTGTGTGTGTGTGTGAGTGTGTGGTTTTTTCACTGTGTAGCGTCTCCAGCACCTTGAAAGTGTTGAGCGAATTCTTGAGGCCCATTATCTTATCATCCACGTCAGTCTGATGTGCCTGGAGCTTCTCCTCCAGGCCGTGGTCCCTGTGACGCAGCTCGCCCAGCTCTGTCAAGGCAACATGGAGCCCCTCACGCAGCTCAGCCACCAGGCCCTGCAGCTGCATCACAAGACGTAATTGAATACATAATGTTTTCGGTATCATGTTTTTGAGCGTGTTGACTGGAAAAATAATCTGAAGAATTCAGATATAAGGAAGTTATGAGTTATTTTTCCACTGCCTCTACTGTAATGAGTAAATTTAATTCTTTTCTTTTAGTTCTTTGGTTCTTTTGCTGCAAAGTTCTTTGAGTTTTTGTAGTAATTACCAACTTCTTTTATGTTCCTTCATTTCTTCATTTGATTAGTTATTTTTAAGGCATGAAATGTCAAAAAAATATCTTCTTCAACATCCACTTTTCTGTCTTTCTTTACTCTCCTCCCTTCATCTCTGCCATGATCATTATTTCCATATTGTCCCTCTTTTTTAAATGAATGTCCTTTCCCAGTAATATTCTATAAGAAGTTGATTCTTTATCCACCTCCACTTTCTCTGCAGTTCCATTCTTTTCTCATTCATAGCTGATTAAATTTATTCAACGGGGATAACCGAATCAGCTCATGGGAACACAACATGGGTTGAGCGTCTCTCTTTCGCCCTATCTTTCCATCTCTCTCTTTCTCGCTCGCTCTCTCTCTCAGTCATGTGAAAGGCATCAGGGAGCAGACTGAATGGAGCATCTGTCCTGTTTGCCTCCTGCTCTTTTCCTGTGCGGTGGACAGTGCTACTGTACATCTGCACACCTCAGGGCCGCAGATCTAACGAGCTGCTCACAGATATTATTATTTGATTGCATCACTTGCAGCCAATATTGTGGTTGATTCCTTTGACTAAGCAAACAAGGGCAGGGTTGAAATGCTGACAAATGCTATGTTCACGAGGACAAACTGTAGTGTAAATAATAAGAGAACTTAGGTGAACTCATTGAAACCCACTCAGAACTCAATCTGAAAAATTCAAAGATTGAATTTTTGACAGCTTTTGTGAGTTACATTAACTTTTTCACCGCAGCATTTTGTGGCAGCTTAACTCCAGCAACCTTTGCACAACGCTTTTACGCAGTTACAGTTCGTCTCATACCTGCAGCTCTGCTCTTTTTCTTTTGTACCGCTGTGAGTAAATATGTGCTTTGGATCAAATGTCACCAGACATAGTGAGAATTCAAATATGAAAGAAACATGTAGTCTTCACACACTTTACTCTCACGCCACATGCACTATGATTAGAGGAACTCGGATGCTACGTTTTCTCTGTAATCGCCACAGTGTTGCTCTCAAGCTGAGTGAGCACCGTTTGTGGCTTTGCTTTATAAACATGAGAAATAAGTATTATGTTTTAAACACTAAGTATCTAAGTATTGCCATGGTTGACATTTTTTGCTGTCAATATTTAAATAGTTTAATTCCCAAAATGTTTTGGTGAGAAATATCGGTATACCCGGGGTTAGAACTTTGAATCTGCAGCACAACTGGTATTATTTTGTTTGTAGCTCTAAGTTCCTCGTCTGCAGTATTTGCTGTGATACAACTTTCATCAACATCCTGGTAACTCAGTTCATTTCCCTCATCAAGTAGGTTTAAAAATGCCTGAGGCGCAGTCTAATGATCAAAGCTGAACTACAGGATAGCCTTTCTACTCTTCTATCCAAGAAGCTGTCTGTCACGTCACTAGATTGCCCTTTGACCTTTCTGTGACTTCTGACCTCAATGTTTGCTTGTCATCCTGAGGGGATTACAGGTCATAATGGTGAGTTGAGAAGTTTTCCCATGGAAAATTGAAAAGTAAATGTTACGCCATTGGTTAGAAATAGGTTAACAGTAACTCAGGAGCACAGCGAGTTTAGAAAGAGCAGCCAACACAAAATCTAAATTTCTAAAATCAAAAAACATAAGGTTTTAGATTTTAGATTTAGTTTTAGACCTGTGCTCCTGATAGAGGGAGTTGTTGGGAAAGTTTTAGCAGCCACAAGTACGTCACCTCTTTAACTTTTCCTTTCCTGCTGATAAAATAGTGGCATTGACTGATAATGGAGTTCTGGATTACCTGAGCGATCTCCAGGTTAGCCTCCTCCATGTGTTCTTCTTTCTCTAAAAAACAAAAAAACAAAAAAGATCTCAGTGAGACTCCCACACCTGCAGACGTTCACCTTTATGAAAATGGTGATTGATTTCATTCTGTGTTTACTTCATGTCTCCATAAGCAGGCATGGAAAACTAGATGGCACATTGTTCATAATAATGTGGTGATAAAACAAAAGTGTAGAAATTGTAATCTGACATTATGTTTCATGTTGTTACAAGAAAACCTTATTCATTCGGTTTCACTCTTCTGTTTATTTATTTATGTATCTGAATTCAAAACTGATACAGTCCAGGTTTTATGTTTCAGAAAAGACAGCGGTTCAAGAGTCTGGCATGTATATTAGTATATTGTAACTTCCTGTTAGATTCATTATGATACCTCAGCACTAGTACCACAAGTCACAGAGACCATGGTCAACAAGTTTGGCAGCATTTTTCTCACTCCAATAGCATTACTGATGCTAGTGCTTCCAAAGATGAAGATGATACGGGTGATTTATTTTCCAAAAGCTTCATAAGAGCAGTGCTTTTCTTCTGTTTTCTGCTTCAGGGACATCCAGCAGAGTTCCCTCTAAATCCAACCTGCTTGCTGATTTTATAAAATGCAGTGTAAAGGCTGCTGAACTGAATAAACTAGGATTTTTAAATCACTAGAATACATTCCACAAACCCTCAGCCTATAAATAACTCAGTTCAAACAATGTGAATCATATGAATCATTAGACATTAAATTAAATTAAATTAAATTAAAGTAAATTAAAGAATTATGTAATAAATAAATATGTGAGCGTGGCTGGTTGTTAGTCTCTATACGTTGGCCCGGTGATGAACTGCTGACCTGTCCAGGGTTTACCCCACCCTCGCCCAATGTGGGCAGGGATTGGCTCCAGCCTCCCCGCGACCCTATTAGGTATATGTGTGGAATACTTAATGGATGGATGTGATAAATAAAAAATGAAATAAATAAAATATTCTCTTTTGGGTTAGTTGTCATTCATGGTTTGATGAAGGCAGAGGAATAAGTCTCTGTGATGGATGGTGCGTGTCTCCATGTGATGTTGGCTAAAAAACATTTGCAACGGGACTCATGACAAATATTTTATGCCACAGAAGTCAAGGTTGGGACAGTCAGGTTTAAGAATGCTGCAGCCGTCACGTGAAAGTGCTGCACGTCCAATTCCTGCTCAGAGGAGAGAGTCCTCAAACTACCTACAAGCGTCATTTTCTATTTGCTCTCACTCTTTGTACGTCAATCTTTTCTCCGTGCGCTGGAAACGGAGCAGAGCAGCTTGAGGAAGTGTCTCCTGATGGACTCACATATTCATTTCTACTGATTTCTAGCTGCTCTCTGGAGTTTTGAGAGACTGTTGTTCATGTTCATGAATGGGCTGTTGCTCCACGAGGAAGTCCAGATTTGTCATGGTGTTTTCTTTCTCAATGCAGTGCATTTTGGGACAGTTAACTGGCTGTATAAAAAAGCACAATGCTTCTGGTTGTTGTGGAAAATGTCACTGCTGGAAGCTGCTGTCTACATTGCTGGAGGTCGTCTTAAACACGTACTTAACATATATTATCATGCATAATTGACGAGGCCCTTTGGCGCAATGTGCAAATCGTCTGTACTGCGTAACATTTCTTAACTGTGAAAGAGCAGAAGAAGGAATATAGTGTCCAACGACGGAGTCTTTCTGTCTGCAGGACATATGGTCGTCTGACAACTTGGGTTTGTGCTGTTGGCCTCAGTTGTTACAGGCCAAAGGGCTACTACCCCAGAGTGACCTCAAACTTCAAGACAAAAATCATTACAGCTAGACCAACATATCGACCATGGCCAATATTAGCTTACTGCACATCAGCAATGATGCTCAGAGGGTTCTCGGATTATTGACCGCACTGTAGATGTCGGCCTCTAAGTACCAAGTAATTGCAGTCGGAAATCAATGCCAAAGAAATGTTTGATATCATTTAGAAACAGTGTCGCTGTTAATCAATAGACCAGAAATGTTTTCGTTGGAGGAAAAGTACAGGTGTAACTGAAAACTTTAAAAGCGATTGCTTTCCATTTCCATTTAGGTGAGCTGGTTCCAGGGTCCTGGTGTTGCGGACACTGGTGAGACACTTAATGGAACTGAGCCATTATTAATGATTTTTCTCACCTGTCTGCTTTCCTTCCCATGACAAGTCAAAACATCTGACTCCAACAACACCCAAATATCAATATCGGTCTCTGCCGCAAAACTCACTGTCTGGCTCTATTTGCCAGTGTACATTTTGTCAGACTGCTGCTGTTCTTCAGCTCCATCACTAAAAGCGAAAAGATCCGATTATATGCAGATGGTATGATAAATAGCCTGGTAGCCTGTTGGCTGAGAGACAGTTTTTGTGCTACAACACAATTCTGCTCTTTGAAGTTTCTGAGGGGTCATGGCTAGAGCTGGTATCATTCAATCAGATTAACCTTTCTTGGTCAAAATTCGTGGCATTTAAATAATCCACAGCCACTGAAGAATAGAAAATCCCTTGTTTGTTTTTTTTCTATCACTTTTATATCTCTGTAAATCAAATATCTTTGGCTGTTTGGCTGTTGGTCTCACAAAACAAGCAATTTGAAGACATCATCTTAAGGTCTGGGGAAATAAAATGGGCATCTGTCAGTGTTTTCTGATATTTTATAGACTTAACAATTAATCAATCAATGGAAGAAACAATAAAGAAATAGTGACCATGAATAGTTGCAGCTGTAGTACAAAGCAGAACTGTTTCCTCCGAGAGCATCTGTTTAAAAAAAAGCTTTTTGGCACCTGTTTTACCTTCTGACAGGCTTTCCATCTTTTCTTCTGTTCTGCCATTTTCCATGTTTAGCTCGGGTCTGGTCCAGTCCGGTTCACAGCTGTCCAGTTCTGGAGTCCTTATCCCGCTCGAGATGACTTCAGTCCGCTCCTCTGCACTGTTCGCCTCTTCTTAACAACCCTGTCCTTTGCTGTGATCACTCACTTTCTCTCCTCCAAAGCATGTGAGTCCTATGATTTCCCTTTTGCACAAAAAGACCCTTGTCTTCAGAGAGTAGAGGGACACAAGAGAAAGATCAGGAGGAGAGAGAGAGAGACATTTGTTCATCATGCAGTCACATACTGAAGCTAACTCATTAGATTGAAGGAGGCGTGACTTGATGTTAATAAGGTGATTTACACAGAAGCATTGATTAGAAATGGAGAAGTGGGCGACTGCAGTGGGTAAGTGGTCAAACTAGCTGGTTGTAGTTTCCTTTACATCAGGCCACTTCCAATAAAGTGTCAGTAAAATCCTGTTTGTATCTGCAGATGGCTTTGAGAGCATTCATTGGATGTGTGTGTGTGACACGTGAACTTGATGTGGTTATATCATGATTTTTTCCTTTTCTGCTCCTTTACCAGATTAAATGATTTGTTTTAGGGAGCCACTGTGCAATCTGCCAAAATCAAACACGTCTAAATCTGCAATAAATCATTTTTTGGCCACTTGAGGGCAGTGCAACAAGCTCAAAGCACAACACGTACATATTAGAAAATGGTTCCCTATTTACACATCCAGCAGACACAGACCAATGTTAACATTCATTTGGAGTCATGTTTAAGGTGAGCTGATGAATGTCAGTCCAACATTCACTCTCCTTTTAGCTCTGTTTCGTTCTCAACCAACTCCTGAGAAACATATCTGGCTCTTTAGTTCACCAGCCAGCTGCAAACTCTGTCTACAGTTTGCTGCTGAGCAGGGACTGCACTGTTTGCCTGAGCTACTTTTAAGCTACTTTTATTTTTTTAACAAAGGTCAGAAATGTGAGCCACACAACATCCTGCATGCGTCAATGAGCACATACTATAATTTGCCATGTACAGTTTCATTCCTTTCCACGTCACTTTTTCTCCATCAAAGGGAGGTCAGAGGTCAGAGGTCAGGGTCAGTTACAGAACAGCAACCTCTAGAGCTCCAAGACAAGGATACAACAGCAGAATAAATACCTCCTGGGCTTCCCTGGCACAAAGACATTGACTCAAACCCAAACCAAGTTGTGTAATCCACCTCCTAAAAACTAATAACAGTTTGATTCTAAAATACTGTGATGCATGTCCGTGCACGTGTCTGTGCATGTTAGCCTGATGATGTGACAAACTCTTGCCTCATGGCTGTCAGAAGCCTGTGTTTGTCTGCCTGTCCATGTCTGTACCTCACTGTACTGGGAGTCTATCTGTCTGTCTCTCTTCATATCTACAGCATGTGTCCCTCCGTTTCCTCTGTCCCTCTGCCTGTGGTTGGAGACAATAAAGCCTGGAGGCAAACAGCTGAGCTGCTCCTCATTTCAACAATAAACCTGTGTTTGAAGGTTACATCTTTCCCAAACGTCATCTGATTCTGCGGTTACACGTGAGTGTGCAAGAAGAAAGAACTGTATATTACTCTCTGTACAAAGACAAGACAAAAGTTGTCATTCACCAATAACTGGAAAGGAGTTCAGGGAAAATGTGGTTTTTGATGTTTTTGCTCAATTAATCAAGAAAATCTATTTATTTTCAATGTCATATAACTAAACCACAAGTTAAAAGGTCAAGTTTTATTAATCTAATGTTTGGTGCTGTATATATTGTGTCCTCTGTAAAATTCATTATACAGAGGCTCACAAATCAAAGTTACATTAATCTGTGAAATATGTTTTGTTTCATGTTATTGGGATGTTAAGATCAATGCAAGACTCAATGCATTATGATCCGTAATGATGCATAATGTTGTTGATCATAAAAATCATTCAAACACAATTTTTTAACCTTGACAGATTTAACGTACATCATCATCTTGTAATCCCCATGATGACTTTATCTGACACAGTAGGACAACACCTGACTCAACAAAGTATCTGCTGCCTCTGAATTTCAGACAGAGGAGAAAAAACTTTAAACACTAAAGAGCATTATTTCTATTTTGCTCTGCAGATCTACATTTTCTTTTCTAGCACAGCGG